TTTCTTTCTTTCTTTATCTTTCATGCGTTCTTTCTTTCTTTCTTTCTTTCTTTCTTTCTTTCCTTCTGTCTTTTGTTCCTTCTTTCTTTCTGTCGTTCTGCTGTTTCTGTCTTTCTGGCTTTCTGTCAGTCTCCCGGGATACCCACGCAGTTTTTTTGATGCCTATTTAGTTTTTTTTTAAGGCCTCTCGCGGGAGGGTGATGTAGGGACTACTTATCCTCAAAACATGCGCGATCCGAGCCGAAGCCACCAGATCTCACGATTGATTGAAGTTCAGTCCTTGATGGCAGCAAAAGCACGGCCATTGGTCCGAATGTCTCGAACACCCGCCTCAGCTGCACCACAACAAGACGGAAACCGCATGTAAGTGCCAGCATTGCTGCTGCTGACTATCAAGGTTATTGTTAACGTCTAAACCGCGAGAAGGCAGGCTGACTGTGGAAATCAGCCTGGTCTCTGTGAGTTGCGACGCGACTGCTGACGTGTCCCCACCGCATCCAGGAGCGCCCCAGGCAACCACGCGACCTCCTTGCAATCGAGTTCGCCACACGACGTTCTCTCACGGCATTGCTCAGCTCAGCTTCCCAGCCTTGAGCAATCGCTGCGAAGGCTCGGATGTTGCAGTACAAGGTCTCGATATCGCGAGCCTCATCCTGAGAAAGCTCTATGCTGCAGGCCACTGGGCAAACCACGACTGTGCTGCAAAGCCCTGCGTGTCACCGTCACACCTGGTTGAGCGCGCTCATGTCCCCTCCAGCGCTTGGGTCGCCCCAAATAACCAGGGACCCGTCAGACTTTGCTGCCACAAACGCGCCAGCATTCGCCCAGATGTTGACAATGCCGGTCTGCAGCTGCTCTGCAACACCGCTGGAATCGCCGCCCACGCTCGGATCGCCCCAGGTGACGACTTGCCCGCTTTCTTTCAACGCAGCGAAGGCGAACTCAGTGCTGCCTTGCCAGTTCCCAGTGGCAAGGGCACTGAAGGGATGCAGGTCTAGCTAACTTGGCGAGGGAGGAGCACCGGTAAAGATGAGAGACCAGAAGATGCAGCGAAGGACAAGGAAGGGTGCAGGGATGCTTGCGAGTCCGAGCAGCAAACCTTCACAACACCGGATCCTAAGGATGTTCCAAGCCCTGATGGCTGACCACCGGCATCGGGATCGCCCCAACCTGACACGTGAATCGTGGAGGGATCATCGACTGGAAGAACTCGAATTCTCTCAAGGGCACACACGATCTGGCCACCCTCCCTGAAAGCGGCGAAGGCCTCGCATGGTAAGTCCTATCTGCTATCGTCAACAATTGCATCCGCAACGCTGAACCAGCAGAATGCACGTTGCTGCCGTGATGCCCACTCGTTGTGGCAAATTTGGAAGGCCCGAGATTTGAGCTGATCTGTCACTCTGCCAGAGTTCCCACCACAGGCTGGATCACCCCAGGTAGTGACGGCACCTTCAACTGGAGAGGAGTGCAGAATGCACAACTGGTCCACCGTTGATACCCGTGCTCCATCCGGTGCAGACTTTTTCTAAACAAGAACCGGCGTTGTTGATACTGGGGAGGTGCAGAAGGCCTCTTGACACAAGTTTCTGTGAATGTCTTATCCTGCTAGATCGCACCTGACTGGGACACGGCTGCAAATGCGCGGGTGTTGCCGACAACAAAGGTGATCCCACCAGAGAGGCGGTCGCTCAGGGAGAGAGGGATGGAGCCACCTTTGCAGCTGGACACATGTCTGTACTGTGATCTGGTGGTGGACCGGTGGACATCGCTTCTAGGGCGAGGCACCTGCCGAAGCATCGCCCCAGGCGATGACACCGTAGATGTGCACGAAGACTACCGCAATCAGTTCCAGCCTGACAAGGGTTCGCTGCAGTGGCGAAGAGGCCGACTGCATCAGCTCCCTGTGACTCTGTGCGGTCTTTCCAGGGTCCTGGGAGCTGCAAGCAACCCTCGAGGCTCTTCGGTCGTGCCAGCTTTGCTGAGGCTCTTCTTCACCTGCGCCAGGTGCCTGGCGGCAAACTTCAACTTTGCTCAGTTCTACTAGGCAATGCCGTGTGCGGTCAAAACACGCCATCGTATCCGGCGAGTATTTCCCAGTGCCTGGCCGTCGACATCCGTTTTGGCCGCATTCTGGTTGTTGCAAACAGCTTGACCCTGGACTCCCCGGACCCTGCTTAGCAGCACACCTTCGTTCTGCTCTTCGAACCGCAGATTCCTCAAAGTCTCCTCAGGGATAAGGATCCGGGAAAAGTGCTCTGCAGCAGCTTGGAGAGCAGAAGTTCCACATAGATGCAGGTTGTTGGACAAGGCATAAACCGCTTAGTGGCTTACTGCAAAAGAACACTGTACGCACTATACGGCTGAAATGAGGAAGCTGTGAAGCATGGGGAGCTGGGGAGGTATTACTCTTCTTGCCTTCGTGATTGCATGCGACTTGGAGTTAGCACAGTAGCCATATCCGAGGCTGAACCGACCAGTTCGCCCTTCACCATGCGATGTCAACAGATTTTTTCCCTCTCGCATGGCTAAGGATCAATGCCCACAAGCGAGGTGAGTCTGTAGGAATAGGGTCAGCGACTGTACTAGATGCGATGTAGGTCCGTCCGTAAAGATACCTAGCCCTAATTAGAGCCCAATGCAAGCAACACATCTAGTTTGGTGACCGAAGTAATGGAGCTTGTGATGCGGTAGAGGTCATGTCAACAGATTGGGTTTGTGGGTTGCTCCGCGCAGCGGACGACGAGAGGTCGGATTGTGAAAGTGCCAAATCGGAGTTGTGACCGCGAGGCGCAGTGACTGGGTGAGCGCGTAGCCCTCGCCTGCTGGCGAAAACGAAAGCCAAGCCAGGAGTGTCCGGGAACGTGTGGTATGCTTGAAAGTTTGTAAAGGCAAAGTGTCGAAGGAGTCATGGGATTGGGCGAGCTTTCGAATGGAGTTGGCCGTTGAAGCGGGCTGCTCCTGAGGGGTGGCATGTTAACTCTCCGCATGAAAAGGTCGGGCACGTGAGGCTCACGGGGCCCCACGTAACATCAGAGCCCGGCTCCGAGTCTCAGGGCCGCATTGGCTCAAGGCTAGCGGCTAACGTGTGGCGCTGCTACAAGTACTTCAAAGCCTGGGAGTACTGCTTCCACCAAGGAGCCAGGTCATCAACTGCCCGGCGATTGTGAAGGAAGTGCACTACAGCACCCAGCACAATGAAGTTGTAGAGCTGCAGGGCTCGGCTCACGCTGCCCTTGATCACCTCCACAGGGTGTGCCAAGTCGAGCAACGCCAAGCCATTGGCTGCCCCCTGCCTGCTGCCGAGAGTAGACCAACAAGCGCCTCTTGATCTGCGATATGCTGACGCCCAGTGACACAACGTCCGGCCTGATGCGCTCGCGAGTCTACCAGAATGTCGCCTGTCGCACTGGTATCTTGCCATTCAGGACCTGACCCCATCAGCAGCTCTCCCTTCAAGCCGTGCAGGACGAGCCTCGGCACGAATAACCAGCACCCAAGGCTCAAACCTATCCTTCCCCATCAGATTCTGGTCGCTTTAAAGGCAGATACAGGCAGTCAAGCAAGTGTTTTCCCTGTGGTTTTGCCGTTCCAGAAGCTCAACTGTGTCCGGAGGCAGCTCCTTCTGCGTTCGGCGGAGAGGCGTCGGGGGTAGGTAATGGAATCCTGACGGAAAGACAAACGCGAGACCGCAAAAAATGCACAAAGCTGATGTCTTGGAAGCCTCGCAAGGTGTGGTCTATCGCCGGCTCCCCACCGCCTGTGCAAGAGAATCGAAAACCCACGAAGAAATACATTGACAAACGGACGGCCAGATAGACAGAAAGATAATAAAGGGAGACCTGACTGGGAGGCATAAACCTGGTGAGACACCTGGGTTTGCAAGCACATGGAAGGATCACCTTGCACGCTGCCGGGTCGCTAGCTGGCGCCCCTGACCACCCTCGCATTCCCCGCTTGAATCTGAGCATGGCTCTGACTGCCTGGCAGATCAAAACAGAACTCTTACATGCCACATGCAGTAAAGCCATCTCGGAAACGACTTGCCTTGATGGCAACCTTCCACGCGCGAGCATAGTCCTAGCTTGCTTGGGCGGCGGTAAGGCGGATGTGCCACCATCATAAGCTGACTCTGACATGATTCTAACTATTCCGCTGCCTCTTGACACTCGCAAGGTCATGCACGGAAGTTCTGTCTCCCAGCGGTCCTTCTTGGCCTGCTCGCGTCCGAGGGCTTCTGTAAGCTCCCTCTTGTATAGAAGAGCCATTGGTCTCTATGACTTGGTGTGTCGCAACATTTATCCTAAGGGGCCATCAGCACGAGCAGAGCCATCGAGTTTGAACACACTTCCTAATGGGAATTGTTTGCTCGAGTCTCCTCGCAAAATGCACCACGATCATTCTTAAGGTACGGTGGGGTGCAAATGCATGGCTTGAAAGCGTGCAACCAGGTAGTGGTGCAGGCTTATGCCTCTCATCGAGTCAGGAGGTTATGCGCTGGCCGTGACTGCTCTACTGTTGGCCATCGTCTGTGTTCCAACTTCTGCCATCTGGGAGTGAGACCTTGGTCAAAACGTGACGGCGTCAGTCGCAGAGAACACGAAGACGAGCAGGCATGCTGACAGCTGACAAACCAGTCACGTCTGCTATCACAAATCACTTGGCACAGCAGGTGCCTGGGCTAGTGATCTGCAGTACCTGCGGCATCCGAGCACTATTGAAATTCGGGTCGACATCGGCAACCGCAGGATGAGTAGTCGTGCACTATGAACAGATTGCACGCGATTTTCCCACACGCAGTTCTCCACTTGTTGTTTCAGCTCAGCCCAGCACTCCACAGCCTCGGCCCACAAGTCGGTGATGCTTCAGTTCCGAAGGTCATCAGCAATGAGTCTGCCCGCTCAGCTCTGTTTGGTCCATTGCGACATGCAAATCGCACGAAGGCTGGCGCGGCGGCACTGGGATTACCCTCAGCATTGAACATACGGCCCCATGCCTGTAACTATACATACAAGTATCTGAATCTTTCGATTCTGCCGTCCCATGCACAGCACGACTGGAGTGAAACATTTCGCATCGCTTCGCCCTTCTGGCGAGGCAAGCCAGGCGCCAGTTTTCACCTGGTAGCATATACAGTCTTTTTTTGTTCGAGCGCACGGTGCTCTCGTTGCTGTGAAACTCAGCGGCCAGAGCCCGGGCCGTCACAAGATCCTTAGCACGAAGTGTTATGGGCTCAACACTATTCAACACTGCCGGCAGTTGCCACTTCAAGGGTGGCGCAAGCGAAGATTCAGATCAGCGTCGGTCGCATGAAGCTTGACGGGCGTTCGTTTCGCATGTTGCGAGTGAGTGTGGTGACCTTGCACCAAGCATGGACTGTCAGAGAAGTCCGTGTGAGCACATCACGGGTTTCCAATCCTCTTGAAGTGAAATCAAGGGGCAGATGGCGTCGGCTTCACCACATGCCGTGGAGCACCCACTTTAAACGCCTCGGTCCACCCAGGCTTCAGCAAAGAACAGCTGCTGAACATGGCTGAACCGGTGCTGGCAGGCAGCCGGCGGTGCATCCTCGTCCTGACAATCGCCAAAAGCTCCAAAGCGCAGCTGAACAAGTCTTCTTCAGACCCGCCGGCCTTTGGCTTCCGTTTGAGAGGTTCTTCTGGACAGGGGATATACCTGAGTGGATAACGTTTGCAGCCTCTCAAGAGCGGCACGGGGATGCAAGCTCCTCGTGACCAAGTTACTCTGGAATTCCGCCCATGAGGCAGCCCACGGCATCTCTCTTCATCGGGTTGGTCGGCCGGAAAGCCGACTCATGGGGGTATTTCGCCTTTGGCCACACTTCCGCGCACGTGGACATTCGACAATGTTCCCGATCCAACATGATCCACTCCGGTCAGTTCACCCATTCCCCAAAAACCTGAAGCTTCAGTAACCATGCTCTCCAAGGCATTGCTCAACAGTCCAAGGCGCCGTTTTGTCCGGCGGAGGATCGCGCGGGACATGGGTAGGATGCTCGTATCCTGCCCGCACCGGGCACCGGAGACAAACTGGGCTGGGCGGACCAAGGCCCCTGGAGGAGAGCCTCGAAAAACAGAGGACAGGATTCCTTGCAGTTGACTTGTGGAGAAGCGGCCCACCTGTGGTGCCCTCGCAAAAAAAGGGATCTCAAACCATGCAAAGCTACAATAGGCCCCTTTAGGATGAACCCGCGCATGAACAGCATAACATAGGCAACACAACCACTTGTCTTAAGCTTGGCACCACTCAACACGAAAGTGCCGGGAACAGCTTGCCACGCGTAGGTCGGAAAGCTTCACTTGCGCAGTTCTTGCTCATGAACAGAAATCGGGCAGCCAAGCCCCGGATTCTTATCTCAAACTGTACCTCATCTCTTCGATGGAAGTTTCATGTTGCACCATGCATGTAGACCATGAACGGGGAAGTGAGTTGGCATTCAGTTTCTTCCAAAACCAAAGGCGGGTGCATGTTGGATGTCGTCATGCGCAAGCCCAGAAACCCGGCAGGGATGGTAGAGTGCACAGGAGTACGGCAACGAGGCTGCAGTCTGCGGGGCATGATGAGCAGCTCGTGCTGCTTAAAACTTCCGCCAAAAGCCCAGCATTACCTGGCCTCGTCCACCGAGCCGTATAAGTATAAGGAAGTGCTACATTTTTTGGAGCTGCTCTCCACAGAAACCCACCATTCCGACAAAGCAGACCACATTATGGTATATCACGAACCCCCTGTCTGCATTTGCAGCTGTCTTGCGAATCTTCGCACATGCATTGCGAAATTGTCTTCACGTGTTAAATCTTTTTCCTCAATGTCTGCTGTTTTCCGAGTTGGTCCTCGTTGTTTACGAATTTGCCCGCATCCCTTGCTCAGGTAAAGGGTGTAGCTCCACGATGCTTGCCCAATGGTTTGGAAGACGCGGACAAAGAAGCACGGAGACGTGCAACTTGTAAGACCTTGATGGCCATACAAGCAGCAGCTGAAACGACAGCTCGGCTCTACTCTACTACTATCAATTGCTGCTACTGCTCCACGAGTGGCGGTGTCTTACATCCTCGGCCGCAAATGTTGCTGAGAACTTCAGAGAGCATTGGTCGGCAAACCCGGCACCCGAAATGGAGATGTTGGTAGTTGGGGATGCTTTGCATTATGCTGCACTGAATTGTACTGTTTATGTTCAATGGTGAACCCTGGATGTTGGGTGGCGAAACCTGGAACCACCAAACAGATAAAATGTCAGTTGGAAAACCAAACAGATTCAAGGGAGATGTCGGTTACCGTTGGTTGGCAAACGACGAACCCTATACCCAAACGGAGATCCTGACTGGCAAGCCCCACGCGCCAAAAGATTAAGATATTGGTTGTCTAACTAACCCTACCCCAAAACCTAAAAATAACATCTTGGTCGCTCAGCCTCAAACCCTGAAAGTAGATGTTGGTTGGCAACCCCACAGATACTATTTACCATTGCACGGCTCTGCAGGGCTGTGCAGCAGGAGAAGTGGCACACCAGCGAAAGAAGCAGAGGCAGCAGCAGCAGCAGCAGCAGCATGAGCATGATTCGGCTTTGTTGTCTGAATCGATTCTCGGCATTTCCGAATCTGTGTGAAATTTCTGAGTTGACAGCCAGTGTTTCCGAAACTGTTCTACCGAATTCGTCTTCCTGAATGGGGCACAGGGCGTTCACAAACCCTCTGCTCTGCATGGTCAGGACCTCACCAATGCCGAGCGTTTGCTGCCTTTCGTGCAGCCCTCTGATATCCAAACAGTTTTGACACTCGCACTCAGAAACTCCAGCGATGCACGTTACGGTGTGTCTGAACGTGACAACATCGAGCGGACATCTACAGCTGCCTACAACACAGCTCGGTTCGCAACCTCAGGGTTTGATTTCGTCTGTCACTCTCGCACGAGCAGGCCAGGCTCCACATATGTCCGTCGCGCAAATTTGATTTAAGGATAAGGAGGTGGAGAGCGGAGCTGGGAAAGTCCTCCAAATGCTTCCTCATTGCTCTGGAAGAACCGATTGCCGTAGTCGATGCCCTTGAAAGGCTGCTCCTGGACCTTGCCTCACAGAACTTATGCTTGGTTACGGAAGCAGCACGCAATAGAAAGCGACAGCACTTGCACAAAGGGAAAGCACCAGGGGATAAATGGCACTGCACTTAGTCCTTTGCTATGGTGCTCCTCCAGCTCCTTCTTTCGCTGCTTCCTTATCAGCTCAGAGCTAATCACGGGAGGCCATAGCAATCGTGATGAAACAATGTGGTACTCCTATTCCGGGACTCTGGACCCGCTACTCGGTGTGGAGCTAGTGCACTGCCTAAATGGTGGCTTCGTCACCTCGCGGCGTCGTAGTCGTCTGGAACATGTTCCGGAAAAGCTCCCGGCTCCTGTGCAGGCGTGCGGTCACTGTGCGCAGCTGTTTCAGCGGTGTTTCAGTGACTTGTCCACAAATACTGTTGTTGACAGGCACGCACACCAGACATTGCAGCTGCTGGCAGCGGTCCCCGAAGCCAAAGAGCACCCCTCCAGTCAGAACTCCTGGCCCACCTGAACACGGCGCTGGATTCTCAGTGAACTCTTCGTGGCTTTTGTGGAGCCTCTCTTGGAATTTCCGCCGAAGATGTTGCGAGGAGGAGTCCATTCTGCATACCTCATGCGGAGACACGGTTCTGAATGCCCGTTACAAAATGGATTGCCTCGGTGCACCAAAATTAAACTTCTGAGGCCAATCGATTGTCGAGTCGTTTCGATTTCGTCATGCAAACCACGCCTTCGGGTGGCCTTCCACAGTATCTGTTGGTGCACGACTTTTCCAGAAGCAAGCTTTACGTTTGTGCACTGCCTGCGCTTTCCAAACCTGTTGGGTGTTGGGGTCAGTCAAGCTGGAAATGGCACGGAAAATTGGGCCGTGCGCAGGAGCAGAACCTCTGCAATCTGCGCACAGATTAGCGGTGTGCCGGGCTGCTTCTCCTTGACTGCCTTCGGGTCCTTGACTTGGTCACAGTGATCGACCTAAGTCGGTTTCCGCAATCTGACTGCGGCATCCTCATCGTATGGTACGGGTCTACACGGAACACAGACTGAGCACAAGGCATACTCGTAACCGAGCTTGTTAATGCCTTGCACAAGTCGCATCAACATGAACCGTAAGCTCTCGTAGCTGCAGAGCGTTGTCCTCCGAACTCCTCTGTCTCCCCCTGCCGAGGTGCCTGTCTTCACTGTTCCCGGAGGTTTGAAGGCGGCATCCGGATCTAACATCCACATTTTCCCCTTCTTCATCGCAGACCCAGGATCAGTAAACCTTGCTGCATGCTGTCTCAAGCTTGCGCATGCGTCTGGGGCGGCTACACATCGTCGCTACAGATGCCGCGCGCATACGGTAGACTGTGTACGTTGTCTAGTCGGATCCACTTCGCTGCGTCCAAAGCTCGGATCGCCAAGTCCCAGAGGTGTTTCGAACTTGAAGTAGACGTCTGGCGTCGTTCCCTTCCTACGAAACTCGTCATGTGAATTGCATCCTCAACGGGGGCACATTTTTTAGGCACAAGGCTCCGCTCAGCCGAGGCTCTTTGTCGGAGCGGTTTGAATGTTCCTGGTGACTTCTTCCTCATCTTCTGACACCACCTTCTTTACCAGCCTTGCGCCGCAACGGCAATCAACAGTGAATCTTGCGATCCGCCCACGGAAGCTTGATGGCCTTGGTGCGTACGAGTTGTCTCCGATGGCCAACGGGCCAGGTATGCCGAAGTACCCCCACCTGCGGAGGCACAGATCTGTCGCACTGCTGTCGCAGATTCATCCACTCCTGGGCTCGTTGGAGCTCTCGATGGACTCGGTGAAAATCTTGGTTCTCAGCGCGGCGAACTTGTCCTGCGCCCAAAGTGCGGTTCAAGTATGAGGACTGGTGAATGCTTCGAGAGGCCTCAGCCTCGACCATTGTTGGGACAGAACGGGTCCTCTTGGGTCCAAGACAGCGACAGCTGAAGGAAGTCTGCAAAGCTCGGGCTCTGAAGACCGATGTCCTCCAACCTCGCGGATGTACCCACTAAGGGCTGCCGGGCTGGCACCCAGCTAGAGTTTTGAGCCAGGCCACATCGCACGTGTACGAGAAATGCCGGCAACTTTCAATCGCTGCTGTTCGTGACCGATGAGTCGCCGCTTGACGTTAATCACGGCACATGACGCTGCACAGCACCACTGAGCGCAATGCAACGCCCAACACTGATGGCCTGGCGGGAGCCGGTAAACCCAAGAGCCACGTCTCAAAAGTGTCTCAAGTAAAGAGCTATGCGACCACTATTTCTTGCGCTTTTTCACTTCTTCCTGCGCTGTGCTGTGCTACTGGCGCCGCGACCTCCAGGGATCAGAACTTGTCAAAATCGGGTCGTGTTGGCGTTGTCTTCCCTGCCTCTGCTGCTCCAGCCAGCTTCGTCCAACAGAACTGAAGCTGCACGGGCGATGTGCTTAAATCGGTCTGGGCCTCAGTGCAACACGAACCACATGGCAAGGCCGCAAGGCAGGCACATCATGGGGGCCAAACCCAAATGAATGCCTCCGTACCAGCGGCTTACCATCACGAAGACACCCTGTTCCAAGGCGAAATGACGCAAGGCAACCAGGCCCAGCCAGGCCCAGCCTCACAGCCTGCGAGATTCAGGAGCTCCGCTAGCTTTGAGCCGGCGCCATCCTTTCTTGAGCAGGGTCGGGTCATGTCGGGTCGGACGCCAGGACCAAATGATGGGGTTAACGGTCCTCTCCGTCATCCTCATTGTCCGCGACTTGGATCTTGCGGTCATCATCGCGGAACCTGAGCTGAAGCCGCAGGTGCAGGCTTGCGGTTCAGCCAGGTGCAGTGAAGGTATATAGCCCGGCCTGTAGGCGAACATGTTGTGCGTGGCGACGGCGATTTTGCGATCCTCAAGGAGCGTGCGCAGCACCTCGGTCAAACCTAGCAAAAAGCCCTCCTCGTTCCTCTAAGTTGGAGACCGCTTGTATGCAGCAGAGAACTGGATGCCACATTCGCAGAGCTAAGGCACCCAGTTCACTTGGCCCTGGTTCGAGACTTTGGCTGCGAAGCCTTGAAAGGTAGACTTCCTGTCCTGATCGGGCAAGTCTCCTGTGCCATGACCTCTGGCTGTCAAGACGAATGCATCAAATCAAGTCTCCACGAAAGATTCACCACGGAGAATTTCCACCGCGTTCGCGTCGTCAAAGCTGGCCGCATCAAAAACACGGCGCCTCTGTCCTGGAAGCATGGTGCCACTAACCGAGGACTCCCTAGCGATGCGCATGCAAGAATGGAACCTCCCTACACAGGCTGTCCATATTGTGGATTTGCCGGAAGAAATGTGAAAGATTTGGAAGTGGCAGCCTCGATCAGGCATGCGGTCGGTGCACAACGGGTTGATGTCCGCGAATTTAAGTGATTGGATCAGTCGCCTGTGCTGCTGCCGCTTCCTCTGCCACAGCGAGAGACTGAGCAAAAGCCGCGTCCAACCTCAATCATGCCAGGATGTGCCTGAACGCTTCTGGCATACTCAAAGCGTCAGCACGATTCTACAACTTGTACCCCTGGAGCCGCGCCACGACTGCTCAAATGCATTGGAAACTGAAAGACAGTTGAGGTTATTAAAGGCACCGTCGCTGTTGCTCGAGATTGCGATTGCAGGGTGGATGGTTGTCATCAATTTCATAAATTAGTTCGACCATCAGGACTGGCAAAAACACGGGTCACGAAATCACTTCGCCTGACTTTTTTTGCAGGAATCTTCCGGCGGAGTCAAGAGAGCACACTCACGTCCAAATCCTTCGAGCTGCTCGTCCCTTTGCAGAACTTCAGCTGCCAGCGCTGGCTCCAAACACTCGCGCAGGCGCTCCACCCACCTGTCAGTGCCATAACACCGTAGACTGTATTGGCCGTTTGCCTCTGCAACCACACAGCCTCACACAGCATCATTGCGAACCAGCCGTGGCTTCAAGCATTGAGCCGAGACTCTGGTAGATGCAGCCTTCGCCTTCTTCTGGCGGCTGCCAATTCTCAACCAACTCCGCGACGGCTTCTGTCGCAGCATGTCGCAGACCCTGCGAAGCTCCTCGAGACGGGCTTGACAAACCCTCAAAGTGAGGAGCTGGCAGCAGGCACCTTCGCAATCGAAGAGAGGCACAGGTGGCTCGCCCGAGCGAGGATAGCCAGCCTGCGTCCAACTGCAAGATGTCCAATTTCAGAGGAAAGTCTGGGCAAGGGAGCCACGAAATGCGAACACGTTGCTGGGAGCAAGAAACGAACAGCTGCTGAAGGAGCACCGGCAGCACCGGGCAAAACAATCCTGTCGCACGCGTACCCAAACTGATGAAAGCATGCAAAGCCCAAAGAACTACTCCTGTGAGCCCACCCCTCCGAATCCACGTCGCTTGTACTTACGAGCGCCACAAAGTGCATGGAGGCAGGACCCAAGAAACATTAAAGAGGCTCTTATTCGAGTGTGTCCTCCACTCATTGGGCCCGAGAATTTCGAACTCGTTGCCGTAGATCGCTTCCAAGACCGATCGCTCATCCTCGGCGCCTTCCGGCAGGGGCTCGTTCGAAAGCACCGAACCTAGTTAGGCAGCTAGGCACGAAACACTTGCAGTATGACATGTTTATTATCTGATAAAGCCGCCTGGATCTAGCTCAACGTCGTGATCGACCTGATATGTCCTGTCTCTTTGCTCTTCTGGCCCTCTCCTCACGAACGGATGCGTGGTGGCAATCGAGCTTCAGCAACAGCTAGAGTCACAGACCAGACTGCTGAGATGTACTTACTCCGGCTCCTGAGACTGGGAAGATCTCTCGTGGCATATCCCTCAGACTCAGACTTCGCTGTCTGTGATTCCAATCGACCGGGTCTGCGCAGATCTCTGCAGCTTGGTTTCAGCTTTTTGGGAAAGGTCGGGCTTGTCGAACTGGGGAACCGAAGAAGGCCGTTCTCGCGCTTGCTCCGCCGGCGCTGACCAGGAGGCTTGGTTCTCCCAAGACTGTTGCTTCCTGACAGCCAGCTGAAATACAAGGGGGGCCCCCCCCCCTCCGCTGCCCCTGCTTCCTCGCCTCTGTTTTTGAGAAAGCCGACTGCGATGCCGCGGTTCTTGCGGCGGGACCGGCCGCTGAAAAAGCGGCTCCACTTGCACGGGCACAGCACGCTCGGGCTCTGCTGTCTCGGCCGGAGGTGCTCTCGCAGGAGGCAGTTCGCCCCAGAATCCTGCATTTCATCATGTGAAACGCAACCGCTTAGCTGCTCTGCCAGGTGGGCCCGTCTACTTTGACCTTTCGTGCCATCGACAGTCAGGCAAAGGTGTTAGCTCGAGATGCCCCCCCGGGGCCCCCCTTGGGCTTAAGCGCAGATCTGCCCACGCTGGGGACGCACATGGCCAATTAGCCATGTCAAAGAAGGGTGCAACTTAGTTTGCTAACGAAGGAGCTCATACACGATCTGTGACCTACAAGTCTGAATACGGGAACCACACTTCAAGAACCTCGACGGCGCCGACTTCCTTTTCAACCACCCGGCCTTCATCGTCACTGTCATCCCCTGGCACCGGGAGGTCAACTTGGCCAGTCCTTTGCTGCACACGGCCTTGTAGTGAGACAACTATTTGGAACAAGACCTAGACCTAGATGCGCCATGCCAGATTGCTGCTGCCCTTAATCGATCCGGCAGACGGCGCTGCGGTCGCATCGTCTGTGCCGACTTCTGGAAGGGACACGGCAGTTTTGTTCCAGCGTCCACGGCGCGGCTCCATGACGGTATGGCTCCATGCGTTTGCCAGGTGAAAATGCCGATCAATGGGGGTGTGCTTCTGCTGCTGCTGATGCTGCTGTTGTTTCAGGCATTTTCAGGCAATGGAGCCGCGCTTCTTCGCTTACTGATACTGGGCAGGCTAGGTTAGAGCTAAGCGCCTTGGATTCTCGCATCGAGTTAACTTGTGCGCCGATGCATGATGCAGAATGACGATCGCAAGCGCCAAGCTGATGTAATCCGGAAGTGTCAAGACATTCGTAGGCAGGCCGTGCCTCTCCTGCTCTCCATGCATCCTGCGCGGCATAGCCTGCATCAGTGCAGTGAGCTATTGCCGATATAACTGGTGAAGCTGGTGCTGGTCGTGTCGAGGATGACACCGGTCACCGGCGAGGACTGCTCTGGCAACAACCATGCACTGCCTCACAGCCGGGATACCCAACCATCGTGTGCGAAGTGACATGCAACATAACCATCTTATCGTTGCTGCTGGGTGTTGAGAAGCTGTCTGGGCGAGCAGGCCTGGCCGATCAAAACGGAAGTCTGCCGCATGATGCTTGTCTCGCTTTTTTTGCCGTGTTTACGTTCGAAACTGCGCGAAGGCTGCTGTGGGTCGTGACACATGTTGGATGGTAAACTGACAATAGCAATTGTCCACCATAGTACGTGCAACCAGCAAAACGAGTGGCACACTTCTAGTGCATTGTTCCGCCGAAAGCTCAAAAGGCTGCAGTCAGCTGCGGCGCTGGAAGCCTTTCGCGTGGCCCTGCAAGCTCATCCATGCCTCCCCTGTGGCGGAGAGTGCTGGAGTCGTTGCGGAGCCTCGGAGCTCACGAAGCTTCGCAAACAGGAGCTTATCTCGGATGGTGAGCTCAGCATAGGAAGATTCAGTTCTTTCGATTCGGCGACATAAGGGGCCCACTCGCGCATCTCTAAGAAATGATCATGGTATCATGGTGTCGGCGAGTGGCTAACAACATGTCGCAGTCAACCTTCAAGACTGCAGTAGCTCGGTCTGTGGCTGGCACATCCAGCTCAAACTGTTCAAGGCGCTCTTGATTTTACAAACCATTCTCGAAAACTTCGTCGAGATCGGTCGCTTCCCCCGCTCGCCAAACCAACCTAGGGGCACGGGCCACGGGCAGCCAGTGTATTGTAGTCTCGTCTTGACCAATGAATCCAAGCAACTCCTCATCTCCTTGGACCATGTAATCCTGAACGAGAGACTTGCCCAAGCACTGCTTGCAGGAGCCGACACGAGTACTTGGCCTTTTGGAAGGAGTTGGACCTCGAAGCACCGGACAGGACTACGTTGGCTCGAAACGCGGGGCTCGTGTATTTGCACTACATGCCTTATTGCGATCGAAGCTGCAGCTCGACTTCGGCGACTCGCGGTGCCTCGATCTCCGTCTCGTTGTTGTCTGGGGGCCTGCGCGCTTTGGAGCGTGCAAGGCGGGGAGCCAAGCACGAAAGCAGGGACCCTTTCTTTCGGTGAACCAGACTCATTGCCCACACTCGGCTTTGCCCTCGCACCAACCTGGAGAGCTCAGCAAGGTCTTCCCGGAGCTTGGCCATCTGCAAACCTGGCACAGAAGTCTACATGTACTCGAGCGATCTAGACTCGCCGACGTTAAAGCTGCGACTGATTTCTGCTCTCTTCCGGCAGAGTCTAAATGCTTCTTCCGAATCACCACAAGCGTCACAAGAGTCTCCACAAGGCCTGTGGCAAAATCCGACACATGCTTGGCCCAGACGTGGCTCCACCTTCAACACAAGAAGCATGGGCGGCTAAGCACCCCGTGAACTGGAATCGGTTTATCAATCTACACAAAAGCTTCCCAACACCGAGATTTATGGACTTGCGGAACGCAAACACCTCCTTCTATCGCGCAGGCGAGAAGCGTCGGTGGGTCATCCAAACTCGCAGCGACCAGCGAAATGGCCTCCTTCTTGCAAGAGGCCAAGCCTGCAGAATCTGCAGGCATGGCTTAGGAAAACCCTAAAAGATAATCTGAACCGTCTCAGCTCTGAGCGCCGCAGATATTCAGCAGTGGTCGGAGGGGGAGACACATGCAAGATTATGTCAAAGCCTGGGAGCGCAGAAATAGTCTTGTGAGGTTTGGCACCTGCATCTTTGCACCGCGGCTCCCTCGCAAACTGCGTAAGCTGCGGACTGGCGGACGCCCGCCACCGCTCAGTGCTGTGCACAATGCAGAGCCTGGCCAGCAAACATTGATTCCTCCTTTTCGTGTTGGCAGATGCCGTTTGCAGCTTTGCACCTCTCGGATGCAAGCGCTTGCGCCGCCACGACTCTGCGCAACTCGTCTTGAAGAACCGATATCTCGTTCGTGAAAACCAGGATGCTTTGCCTGAGGAGACATACAGACTTCTAATTACTACAGAGAGGCGCTCCAAAAGCCTTTGCAATAAGACACAAATCCGTGACAACCGTGTGCACAGTCGTGGATTCACACTATCACCTTGTCGATTGCTGCGAGCCTGGTGTGCAACTGTGCAATCAATGCAGCAGCTTCTTTGGCATTGTCTGCATTGACAATCCGCATGGAGATGTGGGCCTGGTTGAGGCTCGATGCATTGCTGCGTGCCAACAGCATTACCGAGAGCATTGCCCCCCTCACGCCATTTGCCAGCTGCCTGATGCAATTCTTCATCAACACAGCTGAGGCCCTCATAAGCCACAGGACGTCGCAGGCTACTGGAGGCAAGATGCAACCGGGCGGGAGCATCGACCAAGGCAGTCTCTGCCGCAGTGTTCTTGGCCGGCAAAGTCTCCCGATGGAAAAGGTAGGTCGGTCCCCATCGTCCTGGGTGCAATGTCCCAGAAGGCTCTTTCTTGTTTCATTCTCAGTTTCTCTTTTTCGTCTCTCCTTCCCCATTCGTCTGAGAGTTCTTCCCCGCCTGGACGAGGAGGAAATCTCTTCCTTTCAAGTCTTAATTTCGTGCTCTCGCCCCGTCACTCAGGAGAACCCAGTCTGGGCAACTCCGGAAATTTATGCTAAAGATCTGAAACTTTCCCACAATCAACAGGCGTTACACTGAAAGACTCAAAACAGCTCGGAGCACACGTAGTTCCAACGCCCACCGCCATGAAGTGCTTACAGGTCCGATTACAGGTAAGGCCCACGGCCGAGCTCACTCGTTGTACTTAGGACCCCTTGTCGAGCACACGGCCCTCAACCAGCCTTTCTTTCTCTTTTTTCCTTCGGGCCGGAGGATCCAGTCACGGGCCCTCGCTCCAGGTGGGGTACCCGCCGTAGGGGTTTTAGGGCCGGTTGACAAAGCAAAGCGAGAGAAAACAGCGGGAGTGTTAGCAAGCAAAAACAATCAAGAACAAGGGAGTCTGTGTGGGGACCGCCCGGCGTGTGGGACCCGAGGAGCTGTCATCCAAGTCCTCCGCGGGGTCCAAGGGGTCTGCTGCGACGACTTATGGGGCTGCTGCTGTGAGGTTGGTCTGCCTCTGTTGATTGCTGCTGTGGACCCGTGGGCTGCGGGGTGCAGTTTGTGGATGTGGGTCGGTCCCCGTGGCACGTGTGTGGCATCTGGTGTGTCAGCTGTGGCTTGTGGCTCGTGGTGATCGTGATTGTTGAGTTTGGCCTGGGTCTGCTGTCGGTAGCTGCACTTCGGACTGTTGCTGTGTTGGGGGTCCTCCAGGATGCTTCTTTGGGTGAGCGAATCGGTCAGGCTGTGTCGTCCCAGCAATGCGATGTCCCCGGGTTGGCGTGGTCGCAGCTTCCAGGAGCCGTCCATCATGCTGAGGACGAAGCGGAGCAGGCTTGGAAGCGGCAGTGGCTGCTGCTTGCTGAATTTGCTTGCTTGCTTGCTTGCTAGGGGTATGGGGACCAGGTCCCCCGGCTTGAAGGCCTGCCCCACTCGGTCTGCGTCGGTGAGTCTGCGAGCCCCCTTTCGGGATGAAGACGATCTTGTTCCCCCTCGATGTGCCTGTGAACCGCGAACCGAAGGAACACCCCGCTAAGACCGTCACCGAAGGAAAGCTTGTGGGCAACACTAAGGTCATCCAAGAGACTTCCAGATAGTGCTACAGGAGAGCTGGCTTTCCAAACAATCAGCAAAGCATTCCATGTAAGGGCGGCAACAAGAGCCAGGCAACAAGTGCAACTTACATGTTCCTGCCAACTGCTTCTCCTTCACTGGTTGGGAGCTCAACACCCGCCAGTCAGAGATCGAGGCCCCCTAGTGGCCCTAATGAACCTCCTTTACGAATTGCTCGACCTCTGCTCCTGGTCACAACCTCGTGTGGAACCCCAACCTCGCCTGCCTCCCCACTTCATCCCGAACCGAAGCCTCGCGCAACACTGCCTTCACCTTCCCACCCCGACCCTGGGCCTCTTTCTGTGCAGCCAGCACCCTGCGTCCTATGGTGATAGCCGAGGCTTTCAAGTAGTGTTTCTTGGTCGCCAGGTCTGGGCAGGTTTGAGTTTTATCCCCCGGCTCCCCAGCTGTGCAACGGCTAAACAAGGAAATCCCCCAACAAACCCCCTCCAAAGTAACACACTATCCATCATCATGGTCTGGGGAGCTTGGGCTTGTGTCTTCCCCCCTGAACTCTCTCTCTCTGTCTCTCTCTTCCTTCCTTCCTTCCTTCACTCCGTTGGGTTCAGGTCCGCATGAGCACACCCGTGCCGAGGCAACCCGCCCTCTGTTTTTTTTTGAGAGAAAGGGCTTGGCGGTCATCGGGATGTGATTCACCCTAACGGTCTGTATGTTTTGGGAAGGCTCTCTCTCTCTCTCTCTCTACGGGCCATGGGGTTCCCCCCGCACGCGAGCGCGCAGCCGCGGTCCTTGGCGGGCTTGGAATTCCCTGGTGAGGGGTTTGCCCCCCCAGGCTTGGATTACACGGAAAGAGAAAAGGAGCTCCCCAGCCGACTGCAGTAGAAGCATAACAAACCAAAGTACTGCAACACAACTGAGGCCAGGGAGCGAGTCGGCGGGGAACTCTTTCAAGGTTGGGGTGCTGGGCCAAAAACGTGCTGTTCCCTCCCGCTTCATTGAGCAGGTCTTGGTTTTGTCTCTGGTTGGAAAGAAATCAAATTGAGGCTCAGGCATCCCCCGAATTCTCATTGGGCTTACAGGTGAGTTGAAAAGAAGCTAAGATTTATGGGCGAAATGGCCCTATACATGGGTTGAACGGAGATGGCACTATAGCCGTTAAAAGTTCACACCTAATCCCCCTCAGAAGTTGTCTTTTCTCAGCAGGCACTCGGCACCAAGTTTGCACAAAACTTGCAGAGGGACAAGTCCCCCATCAGGAGTAGACTTCCCCTTCAGCTTCGAAAGGCATCACGTTCTGTACGGGCTTTGGCCATATGCTCTTGTATCAGCTGCACTCCCCGCCATTGCTCGTTGGGGACCAGGTGGATACGTCGGCTGGCCGGTTGATGGGCTTGTGGTGGCAGCCTCTCACTTGGTTCACTCGGTGGAAGTGCAAGGTGGCTCGGGCTGTCACCCGCGACCGGCTTCCCCCCAAGGCCACTCATACGACGGTGCAGCATCTTCACCAGAGCTATCCCCCCAGTCAGGTGGTGTGTCAGCGTCCACGGCCTCCCTTCTCTCACTGACTGTGTCTGCGTTTCCCTTTTCGCATGCTCGGTCCTTGTCGTTCACGTTGGCTCTTCACCCTGTGCGTTTTCACGGTTTGTTCCCCCGCCTTGTGGAGCACATGGAGCCGCCTCTGTTGTAGCAGCTTCCCCCGAGCTGTTGGGGGTTTTTAGTCTTGGCTGTCTTCCTCTCCTCCGCGATTTGCGGATCTGCTTGCGGACCTTCTTGATCTGTTTGAGCAAGCTCCCCGCCTGTTCTGGAAACCGAGCCACGTAGATGCGTGCTTCAGCGAACACCCTCGGTTGGTATTTGTCCACCAAACGGAGGTACTTATCCACCACGTCCCCCATATGGCAGCGTCGGGAGTGCCTTTTGCAGAAGGCCATGTATGACGCGGCTAGCTTCTTGGAAAGTGGTTTCCCTGTGGCGGCATCTCTGTATCTCCCGGCACTCCGGTCTTCAAGAACCTCCTTCCCAATCCAAGTGTCCATGGGTTGAGGCACGAACAGCATCAGGTTCCCCTGCCTCGTCCGGAACTGGGTCATCTCCGACAGCGGTCGCGAGGAAGTTGCAGCTCCCCCCTCTGGGGGGGTGGCTGAGTACTCGGTGCGGCTTCTGAGGACTGTCGGGGTCTGCTGTTCCCCCTCTCCGTCACCCCATGTAACCGGCAGTTTGGATCTGCACGCTCGTGTTGTTTTCGGAAACCTGTGGTGCATATACCATCCCCGAATTTGCATAGTTTGCATTCTTTCGCCATCCCCCCGTAGGTGATCTTCACTATCTTGTCCTTCCTGCCAAAATCACGTCCTGGTAGTTGAAGGTCTCCCCCACCCAGCGTCCAAGTAGAGGGTGATCGGCGTAATGGCAAACAGAAGGGAGTTGTGGGAGCAGTGGAACGTGCTCTCCCCGGCAAGCGCGCTGAGGATGAAGGTCTTGCAGTCTCGGAATTCCCCTCAAGGTCGTAGTGTTCGATTTCTACCTTCACGGATATGGCACACGGGACCTTCCCCCCCACAGGGCCTCTGAAGCAAAGTGGCAGCAGGTATGTGACTCAAGCCTCCCTCCGCTTGAAAGGAACGTCCACCCTCCAAGGTTGCTGGGGACAGCCAGCAGCCTCGGAGGGCCGTCCTCAAGCGCCCCCCCCACAAGGAGAGAGCGGCAGGTCGACTTGAGCCAAAATGGCTGAAGGCTCTCTCTCTCTCTCTCTCTTGCTTGCTTGCTTGCTTGCTTGCTTGCTTAGCTTGCACTTTCTTTCACAGGGAGCAGGGGCGAGCCCCTCTGTGGAGGTACGCCCTTTGTTGGCGGTGTGAACGGCTGCAGACGGTTCTTTTTGTTGAATGCAGGCGACCTGGAGGGGTTGGCACTTTGATTGACGTCACTGAAGAATACCTCTATCCCAGAGTAGAAAATGCCTCTCTCTTTCTTTTTGTCTCGGTCTCGGTGCAGTGTCTACCCAAGTGTTTGCAAATCGAAGTTCTGCAGACATTTATGATCATGCTTGGCGTCTGCCCCTTGGCATGAAGTTGAGCAGCTCGAGGAGCTCTTGCATGGGGCACCTCAGTGAGTGCTCCGAAAGCTTGCGGTCCTTGAGTGAGGTCAGCGCTCGTTCGAATCTCTCCAAGCCACGCTCCGTCCACGATGAACAAGGAGATGCGGGAAAGCAGCTCAGGATTGTTCCTAAGCGGCAAGCTTTCGAAATCCGCCATACGGCTAAACCGCATTTGACCCAGACAGAGCTTTTGCAGAGACCCTTGTGCCATCTGCATCTGCGAGGCCTGGCACGTTCAAGAACCCAATGGGTGGTGCCGGCAAGCGTCCTTGAAAGCCATGGCTCAGCGTCTTGCGAAAATGCGACAGGTCTTCCAAACAAGAACAAGTGCACGGCCGGATCTACCTTTTGTGGGCCATGACATAAGACCGTCGTCCCTCCAAGAACACCTGCCTGGGCTTATGGTGCTGCTCGACTCTGTCAAGACTCCATAACTTCAAAACCCTTTGGCAACTCCCGGCAACCACGCAGAAACCGCTAGCTCTTGCAGAAGAAGGGAAGCCCAAAGGAACCGCTGGCTTTGCCTCTCACCTGCACCAGCCACTGAAATTCAGTCGGATACTTGGCTGGACCTTTGTAGCGAATAGCCGAGGGTCTGATGAATCGGACCCTCGTCGCGGGACCCATCTTCACTTGCCTTTCTGAACCTGCACTGCAAGAACCAAACCTCTGACGTCTTTCCCAAAGCAGGTCCAAAAGTGTCAAGCAGTTCAGCACCTTGCATGAATAGGAATGATGCACGAGAATGTCGGTGGCAGTTGCTTCAACTTCATCTTGCTGCTGAAAGATAAAGACCGGCGCTGGTTTTGGAGCATTAATAAGTCATTAAGTGTCGGACGGGCTTTAGACACCCGATGCTGGCCTTTTGGCCAAGATGTTTCGGAAGATTGCCGCGGATTGTATGGCATGGGTGCAGGTCGTAGCGCGTTGTGTTAGAGTACGAGCCTCGGACATGCGACGGCGTTTACTCATTCGAGGTGCTTCTGCAGCGCTCGCACGTGGATGCAGCGAGAGCCCTGGAAGCTGTATCGAGAGTTGTTTTGTCAGCGGTCCCATTGGAGGTGATAAGGCTCCGATCACCGTAGCGTTAGACCGTTCATGATGCTAAAGGAAGAAGAGCTGCAACCTCGAAGGGATGATGAATCGGACCAAACGCTCCTCTAGAATTGTCAGAGTTTTCGGCGAATCTACCCTTCTTTTGTTCGACTCCGGGCTGCGGATGTATCTTTCAAGTCTGCAAGTTGAAGTGCTCTGGTGGTTCCTCCGGCCTCCGTGGCGTGGGGAGAATTGATATGGTGGAAGTTGAAGTGAGTTTGCTTGGGGTTCAGAGACGGTGGCGCTTGGCCGCGCAAGCAGCATCAAGAAGGGATGCCCGGCTGCGTGGCGATCAAGCCAAGCTCACGAAGCCCTCATCAGCCCTACCCTGTCCCGAAGGCCTGCGAGCAATGCTTCCGCTGCACAGGAACAACACGTCCGGAAGTCCAGGCGGGGTTCTTGGCAGAGCTGCCAGGTGCCGAAGAGCCAGCCGGGTCTGGAGAAAGAGCCGCTCTGCCTGCACATTGACATAGCACTGCTTGTCTAACTCCAAGAAAGAGCCCTCCGTGTGAAGGTCTACCGTCTGCATGCGATTCTTGCTGATGAGTTGCTGCTGGAATTGCACCAGTCACCACGATGTCTTGCCCTCTCTGCGTCCTTAACTGGCAAAAACCTGGCCTGGGCATGTATGAGAAAGACAGAAACTACTCGCTGCCGAGCTTCAGCTCCCAAATCGTGGCTGCAATCGTTTCAGTTGCCAATGTTCTCGTGCCCCCCAACCTGAGAAGGTTCCATATGGTTCCATACAGCACAGCCGGAAACTGCTTTCAGCTGGTATCAAACCAGTCGTGCGGCTCGCGCTGAAAGACTTCCAGCGCTTCAGCCTCAGCGTGTATATGCAGGAACGGAACAGCATGTCGGCTTTATACTTGCACCTTTTGGGTGCTTTCTGTTCGTCACGGCAAACAGCTGTTCCGGAACATTCAACTGAGTTCTTTGAGGAGTGCCTTGAAGCTGACTGAAGCTGAATGGATGAGACGACATCGCGGCGTGTAAATGGGAGAGCACGCTCAGCAGTGCGCATTTGGCTCGGAAGTCCCCGGCGCGTTGCCGACAGTGGATCGTGGATGTGGTTTAAGGATTCCTCACCTCAGGAATCTAAGGAAAATCCCAAACTCTACAAGCCCTGCATGCCCGGAGTGGGGGAGGCTTGCGGGCAGCACTTGTCTGGAGTGGTTGCACTAGTTGGTAGCACACAGGCATTTAAGCTAGGAGCCCGAACAGCCTGACAAGAAACCGGCGGGAGTCTCAGGTTGGCGAACTCCACCACCAGCCCGTGCGTGTCCAGAAAGTCCCGCCACTCCAGCGGCACACGCCCTGGTCACGGCATTGAACATCAGACAGGACGGCAACAGCTTTGCGTGCAAAGCCGCCCACCTGGAGGTGTTGGTACGGAGGATGGCAGCACTGGCTGTTGCATCGAAAGCACGAAGTTGAGAGACTGGTCCTCGGACGGAAATTGCCTACACATGATTCTCGAAAGGGCTTGGCTTTAAGTCTTTTAACTGTTTAAAGTAGTTAAACGAAGAGCAGCTCTACGCATTCCACGGGCAATCCACCAGCCAACACGCGCCTGACCGACAGCTGCTTGCACCGGTTTGGTGGAGCGTTGATTGTCCATTACTCCGCTCACGGACGCACCACTCTGAGGGGTGGAACTTTTCCCATTGTTGTGGCAGGTTCTGCGCCAGTTGTGTACATGCGTTGGGTGAGCAGGCTCTCCACGTTGTTGACTGCCCCACATATAGCAAGAAAACCTCTCTCCCTGTCAGCTTGGCGTGTGGATGGACCGCACAATCCAGACGGAGGTTGAGGTCATCACAATGGTTATAGGCTGGAGACGACAACGATCAGGAGTGGCTTCCTTGCCTTTCCAGCTTGGAGGGAGCCTGCGCCGGCGACCTGGAAACATGCCCTCCTCGTCTGATCCCGTCGTTCCTCTGTCAGTATTGCTGTTCATGGCTCTTGGCGAGGAACCCCAGCTCCAATCCTCAAACTAAATAGTGTCGATCTCCAACCGATGTTGGCGTTGAATCAAGGAGCGGAGAAGAGCTGAACACGCCAACCGTGATGAATACCAGAGCATAGCCCGTGCTACTAATTTGCGTGAACATGATGGATCATTGTACATCTTCGCATGTCTTGTGGAGGTATGGCATGCTGAACATCGTTTGCTTCAGAGGTCCGGCATTGCAGGCGGACCATTGTACTATACTTTGTGGCTGATTCGCTTTAAACATTGGGTCTCGGGGCAACTTGCTTTTGATCTTGAGGGGTGCAACCCGGGCAGCCTGCCCATCCGACACCAAAACAAATGCAAACACACTGATATTTGCTCCTGAGCACGTGCACTGTGCGGGCTAAGCCCTGACACAAGAGACTAGGGCTCAGGGAAAGACGGCGTCTGGAGCCCCTAGTAGGACAAGCTCTGCTGCCGGGCCGGCGGCGGCTGATTACTGATTGTCTGACAGGGAGCAGAGGGCAGGTCGGCGACTTCGACAGAAACCAACTGACCCTCATGCAGGAAATCAGCACACCTCAGCTTGCTGTATTTCACCACTGTTCCGACTTTGTGTCTACACTGTTGCCAGAAACTCGAAGGGCGAGCGACTTCGGCGGCGGTCGCTGGTGGCGGCTTATGCCATACGTAGCCATAAGGTCCTTCAGAAACTTTGGAAACTCTCGGCCGGGTAATGCCGTCTGTTAGTTGGCCTTGAGGCAGACTTTTCCTTTCACCGGTCCAAGTTGGGGCTCTTCAAGACCTGCCCAAAGCGGCCAAAGTGCAGATCGCGAGCCTCAACTTACGGGTGAGGCACTTGGAAAGCCTGGAACAGGAGACACCTCCCAGAAGATCTGCACAACGGCGCTTCTCCCGTGCAGCTCTTGCACCTTTCCTCGAAGGTGCCTTCCCTCGGACGCGGTCGACGCCGATGCTTCAAATCTTCACTGTAGTTTACACATTACCCGACCAATCTGTTCATAAAGTGCTATCACAGTCGCCACACGTCCAGCCAGCAGAAATGGGAGAGCTTTGGCAGCTCCCCAATACCTAGGTTCTGACTTGGTACTCTAGCTGCTCTAGCTACTGAACCCATCGAGCCAGCTTTAAGCTGAATAGCACGGAGCTATGGCGCTCCTTCTTCGGAAGCCTCTCGGATGCCCCACGCTTTGGGGACGACGCCGCCTTTTCAAGCGCCCGTCTCAGTGATGGCCGTCCTCGGAGCAACGAGGTCTAGGCTGAAAGAGGCTGTTGCCCTTAGAGCCACTGAAGCCCTGGCGTGGCAATGTTGCCTCTGGCGAAAGCTTCAAGGGAAGCTCGTCTCCTTCCAGATGAGCCTCATATGCTGCATGCACATGCGGGCGTGGGGGCCATGAGCTCAGGGGCTTAAGCGCTGCCGGAATGCTGCAAGTGGGCTTACGCGCACGCTGACATCCTGACCCACCCTGAGCGGCCTGCCACATACAGCTGTGCCAAAGTCCATAGTGACCATAAGGATCCATAAAGCAAACAAACAGAAGCGCAGGCCTCCGCCATCCACCTGCCTGCGAAGAACTCACCAGAAACAGTGCGCGCAAGATGACGATCCGACCCTGTCTGCTATGGCGGTGACACGGTATTGGGGAGTGGGGAGATGTCGGATGATCGGATAGCTGGCAGCGGCTTGAGGCAAGTGACCCTACAAGTCAAACGAAGGGTATCTCAATTGAACGAAAGGGCTGCTCCCTCAGCGAGCCACTACGGAAAATTCAGTAATCTCACACCCCAAATGAACCTAAACTTACGTTTAGATCTGTCTTCGTGGCTGTCTGCACACTGTGATTGCCACCTCGTCGTTGCCGCCTGCCTCTTGAACACCGGCCTGACGGTAAAGAGCGTTCTCCTCTCCGCTTATTGAGCTGGCTACTTTCGCGACATTCGAGGCCTGCCTGCAAATCGATGAACCCTTGCATGGGCGAAAGCTCCCTCAATCCTTCCAGATATGGAGTGCTTGTGAGAGCTTGACAGAATGATTTGCTGTCCAAGGCTTCCGTACCTTGCGGAGATCGCCAGTAGAGCTGCACGATAGCTCTGCGGTTCTGCACTTCGCGCACCCTGCCCAGGAGGTGATCTGCCTGGAGCCAAGCTCGCCCGTCCACTGCAGCACGTTTCCCTCTCTGCCCCTGTGCCCTCCCAGGGTCCTAGAGCAGACAAGCAGCCACTGAGCCACGTAGGAGCCAGGGTAATGGCTGAGCAGTGTTCCTCAAGGCTTCGAGCTGCAGTTCGACATGATCGTTGCCAGGCTTGCAAACTCACTTTTTTGCCACTCGCAACTAGGCACCGGGCGAGGACTTGGGGTGAGAGTTGCGGCGCAACTCACACAAGTCTTCCAAACTCAGTAGAAACCAGACTATTCAAGTTCATGTGGGCGGTTCCCTGGCTGCCCTGGCTTGCGCAGAAGGCAGTGGCACTTTGCTACTACCACCACTCCTGCGGTCAGCCTGCGGTGCCGCGGGCAGCAGACGCAGCTGCGCAACGTCGAATTTTTGATTCTACTGATTCTATTTACTTCGCCGGCTTGGCACATCTTGGAAGCGTTGGCCATCAGCTGTCCAGAGAACGTTGGGGTCTGACCGCCCAAGATGTCCTGCATGCAGCTTCAGGCCACTTTCAAAAATGCTCCGTCTCTTCACCTCCAGACGACGGGGCCGGATGACCTCGTCGGCCAGGTGCAGAAGTCTTCGCACCACAATTGATACACATCTCCAAGAAGGACGGCGGCTGTGGCAACGTCGTGCAGCGTGCTTTGCCCCTTTGCCTCGCGGCCTCGGCGTCGTCGCAGAAACGGGCTGGACTCGTTGCAGGTGCCTTGAAGGTCAGCGGGAAGGCTTTGGGGGGCTCCAGAACCACCCCCACATCGCCATCCCTATGGTCGGAACCTCAAGGCCGAGATGTCTGGATGCTGGGCGGCCCAAACATATTCACGCCCGGCGAGCAGCACATCGTTCACACTCTGTTCACAAGTCTTGTTCTCGTTGCCGTGTTGATTTTGGTAGCTGTGCCAGTTCTTGTAGATCTTGATAGCCTTGCACTTTTTTTTGAGGCTTTGTCTCAGGCGGTGCAACTGTGCCTGGCATGTATTCTCGGAAACTGATCCAGGGAGCCTGCTGAAGCGGGCCGTGCAGCTGAGGACTCTTGCTTCATGTCTCGCGGCTCTGCCGAAGGCAAGCTCCGCAAGTCGGCTTGGATCTGTGCGTGAAGCTATGTCGCAGTCACATCCTCCCCAGAAAACCTTGGCCACACTCCGCTGGAGCCCTTTCTAGCCGAAGGGCCAGCAGCTCTTGTGTAGCTCAAGCGGACGGAAAGTCCCGAGAGCATGTACCAATACACCATGGCCAAGCTATTCGACTCGGAACTTCACATACGAAAACCTTGAGCTGTAGCCATGCTTCAGATGTTGCAGTTTCGCGGCTTCTCATTCTTAAGACGTGGAGCTGACAAGCAATGGCAACAGCAAACACCTGCGGCACAAGTGTCCTGTTCTCTGCGCGCCCTCGTTCGCCCGCCACTCTCGCTCTGCGTCGGCCCCGAGGCACGGGAGAATCTGCCTGGAGCGCGTCTTGCACTTTGTCATGCCCTGGCCTGCTCCGAACATACACCACTGGTACAAGCTCATCGGCGCCTGCGTCGTTCGCGCTGATGTCGATGTAAGCCTTCCAGATGCTTCGTCCCGTTGTGGCCAGCAAGCCGCAGGCCACAGGGTCCATCGTGACAGGTTGTAACACCCTCTCGTCCTCAACCCTATTCATCTGAACCTCGTCTACATTCGCCTTGTCTTTGCTTGCCCCAATTCTTAGGGTAACGACGCGTTACCCGTCCTTGACAGCGTGTCAAAATCTGTCCAAGCTCCAGACTTTTGCAGCCTACCAAGCCAAAGTCAAAACAGGTTGGCCCAACGATTGGAGGAGATGCTGTTTGAATGGTCTCACACGCAGCTGACGGCTAGTCTGGCCAGAGAACTTCAACAAGAAACAACCAGACCCAAACCAAGCGAAGCTCGAAGCTCAGAATTATGGCTTCAAGACGGACTTGGAAAGTGCGACTGTCAGTGGAGGCCAGGTTGAGCTTTGCGGTGAAAAGGCCGTGGCCACATAGATTTGCTGCAAAAAGACAGGCCTAGGCGTGTTGGGTGTGAGGCGTCTGCCTGAACCTGAATGGACATCTTGTCTGTGCATCTTTTCCACGTCATCTTCACATCACGCCATACAAGTTTGACCATCATCTTTCTTTGTGCTGCCGGTGCCCAGTAATTAACGCAAAATGCACCGCCTTCCATCTCAAGGGCCAAGTGTCGCACCTCTGCCATCGTCACGGATTGCTGGTAGCACGTCGAGTCGAGCAAGGAATTCTTCAAAACCCAGCTCACACGCGCAACTGATGCTTGAAAGCACAGGCGAAGCCTTGGCCACAAGACGTGGCTCAAGGAACAACGGGTTTACTCAGCTTGGTAGATTCGGACGTACGTTGGACAGGCTTCTGCTGGGTAGCAGCATGCCATGGGTTAGTTTCAGTACACTACGCCCAGCAGTTGGGTGCACATCTCACTACGTTTCGAATAAGCTACACACTTTAATCTGGCTGGAGCAGTGAACTCAGACATGTGCACCCTTGTGCTAACTTGCCTTGAACGTGCCGGTCGCCTCAGCAGCGGCGAGAGCCCGTTTGCTCTTCCGGTGCTTCCGCTTCGTAGCCACGGCTTGCCTGGTGCAGCCAATGCACTTGCAATCTTCACAACCTTACCCTCCACTGCTCAGAAGAGCAGGCACAGACAACCGGCATTGTTGGTAGCATACCATGGAATGCGAAAGCCCAGCTTTAGCTTTAGCGGACCGATCCTGTCCAGGTAAGGCCACCGACCTGATCGCATCTTCACGTCACACTTCATGCCGACAACAGACGCGACTCTCTAAAGAACCCCGTCCAGCTGTCTCAGGAATGCATCCTCAGTACATGACCGCCGCAGCCACCAGCAGCGTGGGTCGCAGCCCGCCGGCCTGGGACGCAGAAATATCGTGAAACGACGCTCCACACAACATCTGCTGCAGCGCCAAGCTGTCAGAAAGTCTGTGTAGAGTCGACTGGAGTTGGCTTGAATACTGTAGCTCGGATGACCGGCCCAATGACTTCTTCAAGGGACCCAAGCTTCGTGCAGGCAAGGATGCCAGAGCTTTGGACCGGGAAGGCTGCAAGGTGCCAATCTCCAACGCTGGAGACACCATGAGATGCCATGCGTGCTTTAAGTGAGTGTGGTTGGTTATCGGGGAAGTGATAGGTACGAACCGGCTCCTTTCAGTCGTGTCAATACTGCTGTTAATATTGCCGTTAGCAACACGGCAGACACCCTCTCTTGAGCCAGAGAGCAGCATCAGCCAACCATGCCATGCGAATGCCTTTACCTTGCTGGGAGACTTCCCGGTAAGCTCAACACGCTGCTCGGAGGTTGGCGAGCACGACGCCAGGCTGGCATGGGCAAGTGAAGTCGGGCGGGCTGATGACATCCACTTGGCCAATATCAACATGTGCGCCACATCGCCAACGTCATGGCTGCGTCATCATCGTCATCATCATCATGACCACACAATCACCATAATCACCATCACCATGCCTCACCGTCATGAGCATCACCGTCCTCGTCATCAACCCGGGAGATCAGTGTTTTTGGCTTTACTATCCCTACCAAACACGAAGAAACAACGACAGAAAGTTGAAGAGCGAAAGACACAGAATCAGAAACGATGACAGAAAGAATGACATAAAAAAGAGGAACGAAACGGTACATAAAGAATGATAGGAAGAAATCCATTACACAACAACGACAAACAGATCGACTCAAATTGAAACACGTTCACTTCAGGAACACGATAGAACAACAGAAAGACCCGAAGAAAGAGAATTGATGGAACACCTAAGCAAAACACCATTATTTGCAGTGCTTCAGTGTTTTGGCCTCTTTGAACCACAGCACAACACCCCACACACACCGACTTACACCCAAGCACTCCAAAAGCCCTAAACCTACGGACCCCACGAGACCGTGATACGACATGAAGCGCTGAGACCATTCGTTGTTTTCCACCCTTTACAAGGACAACACACGGTCTTCGCTTCCGCAACGCGCGAGGCAGCTTGATACGTGTTCGACGTGCAGACCGCCAGCTATATAGAGAAGGGTCGCAGGCTGAAACCAGCTGGCAAACCCGTTTCCCTGCGCATGTTCCAGCTTCCACCGCATCTCTTCCGCAGCATGGTCGTCACTGCATGTCGGGCGTCGGGCATGCGACTCTTCCGCAGCCTTGAACCATAGAATCCGTCACTCGAAACCTCAAAACACACGCAGAACAAGCAAGATTTCTACCATCAAAGGCCGGCCAGAATCAGCCGTGTTGACCTTACCTATCACATACATTTTCCCCGGTATGTTGACGAATCTGCTTTCCATTCATGGATCCGGGGCTTTCCACTCGGGCCATTTGTGGGGTTTTCTTATGCTTGGAGGCGGTGCATCATCGCCCGAAAGCTCAAACCTCAAGTCGCGGTTTGGGCTCAAAACCAGCAGGGCACACAAAGAGTTCATTCCAAGGCTTTGCCTTGGCAGGGCAATGTAATTCACAGCTCGCATGTGCTTCAGTGAGGCGGGCTTCAACCCGCACACCCTTTCGCAGACTCTTTTCTCACACTGCTGCGTGTGTCAAAGGCGGCTTCAGGAGGCTCGTCCCCCTTCAGATCGAAGCTCAGAAAGCAGCCGTTTGATGTCACGCACCACATCCTCCCAAAGTCCCTGCATGCAGCACGCACGAGTGCAGCGAGCGCAGCATGGGGCACCTAGCTGTTTCAATTACCAATCGTCAGCCGTGCCGCTGTGATTCGGGAGGCATACCCATCTATCGAACCTTAAAAAACATGGCAAGGAAAGGGTCGCCACTGCCTAAGTCTGCTGCCGCATTGCATCCGAGACAAGACAAGGAGCTCAGAATGGTTGGCATTGGTCCTTAGCTCTGAGGCTGCGCACCCATGATGGCTCGAAGTTCTGGACCGCGCCTATAGCTTCCCAGTCTTGTGGCGATCGCTTTTCTTCTCGGTCGCGCTGGCACCGTGAATCTGCACGGTTAGCTAAACCAACCGAGCGATCTGAGCCACATAGTGAGCAGCACCCGGATTCACAGAGCCGCAACTATCTTTGGCTGTTAACCCAATCGACTGCCGGATCCTCGGCAGACTTGTCGTTGCCTTTCTTGTCGGAGGTTGTCGCAGCAAGGGACTTCGCTGGCCATCGTTGCCCCAGGCCGCAATCACACTAGCCTGATGCTTGAACCCCGGCCTTCAGAAATGAGTCTTCGAACAGGGTAGCATCCAAAACGAGCCCTGGCCAACCGACCTCCAACCGTTGAAGTCTCTGGTACTATTGCAGCGCATGAAAGTTTCTGGGAACGGCCCAGCAACAGCAAGGGGTTTGCCAGACGTGGTGGACGCTGACTTACTGGAAGTCTGTGCACACTTTTCGGCACGGCTCGCTGCAGGCGCCGTGCACTTCCACACAAGGCACATCCTCTATCAATGCTAGCCGCGATGTCATGTTATAGCGGACGGCCTTGCCCCAGAAGTTGCGCATAGCTGCAGAATGTCCTCACCAAGAAACATCATTCAAGAGATTCCGCAAGCACTTCAGACATCGGAAATGGGCCGGGCACTCATTGTAAATTGGAATACACGGAGCACCTTTTGTCCCCGAGGACTGTGAACCCTTCCTAAATCCCGCCGATAGCAGTGGTGCCGCGCTCCTGAATCCTACATGCCAGTCAGCGGGCTCGTGAATCCGCGAGTACATGAGGGAAGCATTCGGGCCGGAATTCTGGGAGCTGTCGGGCGAAGCACCGTGCTCCTGCATCCCGCCAGTCGTTGGGGGAAAGCATTTGGCAGTCTCCTGGTGGCGGTCTCGTCTCCTGAGAGTCTCCTGGCGCTGGTCGTCGCGGTCGTCCTGGTCATAGTTGTCGTTATGGTGGTCGTGTTTGTCGTGGTCGTCAAAGTGCTCTATCAGACTCTATCACTGTTTGGGCATCCATGCTGGCATAATTTTGGGGCGGCTGAAAGCTGTCGGTTTGTCCGAAAACCCGCTTCGGCAGAGATCAAAATGTTCTGCACACACATCCCAACCCGTATACATTAATTACAGTACACGACTTCTGGCCCTGGCTCGAACAGACTCGAACAGTTAAGGCTCCCGTCTGAAGAGTGGCCAGCTGTCTTCTTCACGTCTCTCCAGCTTCAGAAGCTGATGAGCTGCGCGAGCTCCACTCACCACGGCGGCATGTACATTTCCTCACGAGAGGCATTACAACACCGTGGAGCCCGTCCCTGAAAGAGTGCTTACTCTTACATAGACAGCAGTACCCTCAAAGGCCACCGAGCAGCCATAGAGGAGTCTGCAAGTACCCTCTCCAGCGAAGTGAAGCTTGCCGATGCTGCGTGCCAAAGCATCGAAGTCCTAACAAGGACATGCCCGGAGAACTTGTCTGCGGCACCTCCTGAATCTAGCCGTCTTTGGCGATTGCCCTGCTGGATGTCAGCACGAGGCCAACTCTATTGAAGCAGCTGTTGCTGTGCCTGTTTTTGTGATCTTGGGCTACTGTCGAACAGCACCTTTCGAAACTTCGCCACACGTAGATGGAGGTTCATCCGCTTCGTTTCGGCAATTCACAGGTCCAAGAACCCTGCAATTTCGGTCCTCCACAGACGAGTTCACTCGAGCATAGCTCCAAGCACCCTTGATGTAAGGGTTGCTGGACCATTTGGTAAACATGACCTCCTCTACGTCGGCCCCAAGAGCAGCATGAAGCTCGGAAGCCACTTGACCTGCTGGTCAGTCAGCTTGCGGTCGCGCACGCTCGCAGACAGCTGCTTGATGCACTGCCAAGCTTCGATTCAACTCCTCAGCATCCATCATCTCTGCAGTGATGGCCTGCTGGCCGCCTAGGAAGCATTCCTGTGCAAGGCAGCACAAGGCCGCAAAGCGAGCAAGCCTTGCATCACAGTCTAAAGTTCAAACTTAACCAAGCGTCTAACATCGGAGACCTGGAGCCCTCCATTTCGTCGCAGATACAGTAGGAGAGGAGCTGATGCTTTCTCTCTCCTTCAGCCAGCCGCCCCAAGGAGTAGACTCCATGAAGTATGGGCACGGCCTTTGATAGTTTCACCAGCCTCAGAACGCCGTCTCACACTCCATGCAATCACTGTGCTTCGCACCCCACGGAGAGTATTTCCAAGCCAGCATGTCCCTGGGCTGAAACAACTTGTCAATCCTGCAGTCTTTCTGGGACAAGTTGGCAAGAACCGCTGGTGTCGGTTGTGCACCGGTTCTGGACAGGACGGCGGACTTCACAGTTGGCATTATCACTATAATTCAAAACAGATTCTTTCTTGTGTTGCATCATGTTCAGCAGGGAAACACATTCACAATTCTACAGCAGGGTTTGTTGGGCAGCCACTGTACCTTTGATTCAGAGCCCAGCATCTCAAGTGGTCACATGCATGCATAGCGCGGTTGTCAACTTTGTTCTTTCTCCTTCCCAATGTGACCAGCGGCGCCTAGCCCGTCATTCCTGGCGCACTTGCCAGTTCTTCTGGGAGGGCTTACCCAACTCGCATACACGCATGCTGCACGTGCCGAGCGGCACTTTGGCAACATTGCCCATGCCCAGGCGTTTCAGTGCAGCGTGCTTCCAGCTGGGCAGCGCAGGTTCGAAGGCAATATTCTCCTCGGACACGATCATGCTCACGAAATTCCAACTCCCGAAGATAGAGGCTGCGCATCTTGCAGCATGCTTGCAGGTAAGTCTCCGCCTGCAATGCTCCCACTGAGGCCGTGAGTATGACTGCTGTGCCTTGGGCGACACAGCCGACAGACCAAAATGGACAAATACCCCGCTTGCGGTTCATCGGACCGGCCTCGAAGCGTCTGCTCGTTGACTGTAATGGCGACACTGTCGTTCGAATACTCAATTCCTTGTGAGCAGCACAAGTCGGAATCAGCCCGCAAATGAGTGTAGCAAGCTCGGATTCAGCACTTTCTGCAAGCTTGATTAAGCGAGATGCGTGACACCGGAGATTGCAAGTGCACCTCCAACCCGGCAGCTAAACGCTGAACCAATGTGGAATAGCCACCTGTAGCAACCGATGCCGTCTGTCGACATCTTCAAGGCTTCGGCAGAGTACGGCACAGCGAGCAACAGGGGCCTTGCACGAAGCCATCCCCATGCATCTCCCAACCGTCAGACCGATTCGAGTAGAAGTCCGAATAATCCTCTACATATTCAGCCAGAGCACCTCGCGTCAACGCATGCGGTGCAAGGTCTTCGTGATGCTTCAGCACACATGTCGCAGTGTCCACAATCGTATCTATAGTACAACTGTACAACTAATGCTTCCGGTCACTGAGTTCTTGAATGGAGGCACCTGAGTCCTGCCGCGGACTTGGAACTTTTGGTGGCAGCTGCTATTTGTCTTCCAATCTAAAGCGCCAACGGCGAAATTTGATCGCAGAAACGCCAATCGGTCGCGGCAGAAGAGCTTACTAGGGCAAGTTTGGGATCGTCATGGCATGCGAAAGAAACTGGTGCTCGAACCAACTGCCTCGCCCTCTTTGCATCCCGAACGAACTTTCTCGGCAGGATTCAAGGCCCCACCGAAAGGAAGAATCGAAGGCCACCCCTCTGCCCTATGCAACTTCACAGGTTGCCATTTTCGCACTCCGCTCAGCTCATCCAGCTGGGCTGTGGTGCCCACAACAGGGCTTAGCAGCCACAGCAAAGGCCATCCAAACACCCACGAGACCAGAACATCTTTGCATTCTATCTTATGCCATCGTCATCGTCAATGAGAGAAAGTGGACATGGAAGGAGCCATGTTCCAACAGGAACGGAAACGACGAGGCTGGACTGGATTTCAAGACTTTGCTGTTGGTGCGTGTGCAAGGGGACTTAGGCGAGCAGACACAAAACAAACAGTACAGGCCAATAGCAAAGCAAACGTGCAGAAATGAAACTCGAGTAGTCGTGATTTGACAGCCTCACCTCCAAATAGGTAACATAACAAGTTGCCTGTGCCAGTGCCTGGTGAGAGAGGGAAGCGGAGAAAAGAATGTCAAACTAAACGCATGTCGGAGGAGTTGGCTCGAGCAGAAATCGGAGGAAATGCAAATCCCCCCGACCCGTTCTACATCCTCAACTGTCGGACCACGGACAGGAGTTTAGGCAGTTCTCCCACGTCAGCACGCTGCAAGTCACTTCCTACATGCACACTGCGATTTCCCAACCGGACTGGCCATGGGCACCCCGTAATCGCAGTTGATGTACAGGCTTCTCCACCGTCTGCTGCAGTCCTGTTCGTAAGACACTTTCTGATGCCAGTCCAAAAGAGCTCGGCCATAAGAGGAGTAATTCACCTCCAGTGCACGACGCCACACATCCGCCACTGATGTGCCCAAGTCTTTCTCCGAGAGCTTGTCCTTGGGCAGCGACGCAGCCACGATTTGCAAGGCCATGGAGTCCTTTCTACCTGTCAGCCCCGACCCATAGTAGTCCTAGCCGGCGAAGCAACCATATCTCGATATGGTTCCGCGCAGGGCAGGACTTGCGCCTGCGACTTCGGCATCAAAGGCTGGACTTCCCTGCGAGGCCGGCAAGGGTTTATGTAGAGCCTGCAGGACACATACAGCCTTCATGCAATCCCCATGTTGCCTTCTCTCTTGTTGCCTTCTCTCTTGCTTCCCTTACTTGCAGGGAGAAAAAAGACTTGAGATCGCAGCTGCTTGCAGGCTGACCAGGCTGTGTCTTCTGCCAAGCTTCTGACGCAAATGCTTCGCTTGCGGCCCGGGCAGATTCGAAGAGATCGAAAGACACGTCTCGCTCCGCTGCAGTGAGAGGCACGTTTGAAGATGACAACATCAACAATCGGCTTCGCGACCCTTCGTAGTCATCATCCCCTCCGACACGAACCTGCCCAACCTTGTGCATGTCCAACAAAGTTGATACTGGCACATTGTCGATGCCACCATGAACCCAGTGTGCTCCCTCCTCTCTGCCGGCGAATACGCCCGTGTGCAAGGTGTGGGTTCGACCGCCCAACCGGTCGAGTGCCTCCAGCACAGTAACGTTGCAACCTGGGCCCAGTAAGCTATGATATCTCTTACTGAGAGGTCAAGCACGAAGTTCAGCCAATGCTCCAAATCTCCTGAGGGAGCTCGCAGCAACCAGGCCGGCAATCCCAGAGCCCACCACGAAGATCCTGCCCTCCTACATTGATCAAGTGAGAAAACTGACTGGGGACATGCACATGCATGCAAGCAATCCACTAGTCATCTATTCCATGAGCTCCTCGCAAGCAGCGCTGGATGTTGCAATCGGGGCAAGGAAGAAGCATAAGACTCTCAGCGACATGGGAAAAGTGCCCGTGGCTGCTTATCTCAATGGTTCAGTTGCGGCTTGCACCTTGCACCGCGCTACCAAAAGGCATCCGCAGCGATACAAGTCGGACGCCTACGGTTCATAGAGAAACATCAACCCTTCACGGCTGTGGCCTAGGAGTTGAGCCAGAAGAAGCTATAGCGGCAGGACTGGTCTACTGCAACACACAGGCTGGGCGATGCGGCCACCGTCTGTCTCTCGGGGTTCTGACATTCACGGCCCAAGGATCAAAGAACTCACTAAATCTCAACCAAGTTTCGGACGCCACCAACGACAAGGAGCGGAGCACACATCTCTTCGCCCCAGCCCAGGCCGTAAACCACAGGCTTCTGAAGGTGATTAGACTCGAACCTAAGACAGGAGAGTCAAGGCTGTCAGAATCATAAAGACACCTGGCTGTGTGGGGTCCCCATTGTGAGCGAGCGGCAAGCAATGCTGCAGAAACTGCTGTCCTGCTTGGACCCGCAAACGTGGCCAACCTTTCTCCGGCAAGTTGGCGAAGGATTGCTCCTCGAAGCAATGCAACAAGTCCACCCCGGAGTACTCCTTTGCCTCAGAACGCCTCGACACGCAGCCACTCCTGCCTGCAAGCCATAGCCCGCCTTCTCCTTGTCCGATCGGAAAGCAACGGACCCGTCCTTGTTCCTTAGGTCATAGAGGACTCACGAACATGAAAGGTCAGAAGCCGGCACTTCAAGACAGCTGAACGGCAGGATCTCGAAGAACTTGCCGCTTGCTACCTGAATGGCCCAGCCGTCTTGGCACGCTCTCAGGGTAGGGAACGCTGTCATGACCCAAGCATTGGTGCAAGACACGTCATGTGTGTGCAGGTGGACTGCCAAGATTTCCGGCCAATCCTGAAAGCAAGAGCAGGGTCTCAGGAGGGGTCAGCCATCCCTGTCTCGTGATGTTTGTGGCGCAGCATTCACTAACGCACCGAAGCGGGCCATGTGGCATGAAGACATTTCATGTTCCCTGCGCGTCAGCGTCATCTGCGGCATGCCCAGTCTTAACCGGTCGTCTGTTTCCTCGTGTCCTGCTTGCTGCTGAGGCGCATTTCCGCCTCCAGACACAAGACCTTTAAGCTTCTCTGCGGAGATGCGGGTGACCCACTCCACCGGCCCTTGCTTTGGAAGGATATTCATGTTGAAATTCACGGCTCCTTCGCTTGTCCGCTTGTCCGGCACCCAAGCATGCCCTGGTTAACCCTCGTCATTTCACTATCCCGGGCATTGGCAGTTGGTCATGAGCATGTGCCGAGCAGGGCGTCCTATCAAAGCCGCCGGCTTTAGGGAATGTGAGGAGGTCACATACCTCGGTAGCACGCTGCCACTTCAAGTCACCTGATACGTGTGCACCCAAGATGCATCATGAACAGTCAGGCACGGCTGCAGATCCATGCCGCTAGACTCCGCGACATCCTGAAACTCACGGCATGTGAACCTTTTCTCATCGACTTGTGGGGTGCAGCTAGGGGGACGCCAAGCTTCCTCGTCGTAATTCCAGCACTTTGGAAACAGAAAGTGCCGCTCCATGAGTACCCTGAGTAGCAGCCAGCGTGACAAGAGTTGTTAAGAAAGGTGGATCATCCAATGGCTTCTTTCAGTGACGATACTGACCCCAATCGGAAGAGCGTGCTGCACCAGCAGAAACTCGCATTAGTAAGAAATGTAAGAACAATACACCAAAGCCAAGCAATGTAGGACAACGACGACAAACTGCCTGCCTGCCTGCCTGCCTGCCTGCCTGCCTGCCTGCCCAAGACACGAACAACGAGACACGGATTGCATGTCTTTGCTGTTGCGGCTCTGCTTGCCGAAGGGGATGCCATATCCGCTTGGCAGGAAGTAGTCCCCAGCTTCCTCGCCGTTTGCATGGGTTCGCGTCACGATGATCTCAGAAGAAAGGAAAACTTAAACGCATGTCGGCACCATTGCAACATGTGCTCTGCTCTCCAGGCGTCTTTGTCGTGGGACGCTAGCATGCGCATGGACTGTTCTTCCAGTTTGGGTGGAAGCACCGGGTTGGATGCACCATCGAAGACATACGGTTGCCCCTCGGCAGCCAACAGCGGCTCTCCGACTGTGCACATCGTCTACAGTCCGTAGAACGGAAGATAACACTTCAGCCCGCCACGATTGTCAGCGGCATCGCGGCATCATAGGCGTAAAGGTTGATGTGGTGCACCAGATTGACCTCCATGGTGGCACTCGAGTTTGATTCCCTCGCATGGCTTTGCGCCGGCGTGAAGCAGGGATACGAACCAGAGTCCGGCTGTAAGACTGCTGCTGGTGAGGTCGAACATATCGAAGCACCTCCCTTCCTGCCTCCCACCCGCCCCTCGCCGGTTTGTTCCTCTTTACTTTCAGTATCGTTATTCTGAGTCACTTAGTCGCCTTCCCGCACGGACCCACTCTCAGCTCCTATCCTGATTGGATTGGCGAGTTTGGCGCGCAACAGCACCTGCATGTTGGATTCGGATTCGCCGGGGCAGCGAGACTTCACATCCACCATTGCAGGCTTGAACCCAATGATGCTGTCTTTGACCTAAGGCCCGAAAGCACTCCTTATGGGTCCAAGGCTGTAAGAAACATGTAGCGGCGCTCTCGTTCCCTGCAGCTGCAGGCAGGTTGCTGACGCCAATTCTGGGTCCACTGCCTGAGCGCGGTGGACACGAGCGCTGCTGTTTTGCATCGTGTCTGCTGACGACGGGTGGCACTCCAAACGATCACTGTGTCCTTTCTCATCCTGACAGAATGGTGTACTTTCGACGCACCGCAGAGAGCCAAGCCGTCCTGATGGACTTGCCCAACTGCCACGTCTGCCGCACTTTGACCACTCGGCCTCACCACTGTTTTGCCAAGCTCGCTTGCACCATCAACCCACCACAGGTGGTGCCAAGAAGCAGTCGCCATGTCTGCTGAGCAGTTCTGCTGGGCACTGGTCCTCCTTGCAACACTTCACTCGTCTCCAGAAAGCTTTTCAGACAATGAGCCGACTGCCTTCCGACGCTCATGCTTCCCCCAGGATCGCATCCTGCAAAACGCAGCTACATGCGACATAGACTGAGAGGAGCATGCATGAAAGCTTGGCGTGGCCTGGAGGACGTCATCTGCAGAAACCTGAGCACAGGAAGCTCCATGTCAGCCATCCCATCCTGGAGCGGGCATCCAGCCGAAGCACGACGGCGGCCGTGCATTCTCAGAACCGTCGTGTGAAGCCCAGAAGACGGTACCAAGCATGCATAATAGAGTAATCACCTTGAGCGGCTTCACAGCTTTGCAGAAGCCCATCTCTCAGCTCTCACTCCTTGCGCTTTGAGCTCTAGCATGCTGCTAAGACTCTGCCGCCACGGTGAATTTGGCGCAACAATATATGGAAATAGGTTGCCGCATCCCGCCCATCTCAAAGTCTGCCTGGAAGGACAGCCACCAAGTCACCACAGGCCTGTGCGCCTCACATCCCTGGAACCGGCAGCGGTCAAGGTGCACCGTGCAGGCCGGGAGCGTCAGCCGCTAGCAAAGCATATCGCGGCTTGCGTCATTGACCACAGCTACATATAAGAATGCGTGACTGCAGAGCCAAATTTCAAAGCACAAACAAATCTACAGGAACCAGCTGACCGCTCAACTGTTGGCCTTCATGCCTCGATGTTCTGTTGAGATGCCTACTGTTGGGCTACTGTGGTTGTGGACTCGGCTTGTGATTCACCTGCTGCCCCATTTAGGCATCGTGCTCCAGATCCGCCGGCGGCAACGGACCTGCTCACAAAAGAAATCCGGAAGGCAAGGCCGGGCTACAGTAGTTGCGATCCAGACACTAGTTGGCCGCACGCTGGCTTGTGCATCTCCCTCACCAGCTGCAACCTCAAGGCCACTCTGCACATCGCGGCTCTGACAACATGCCTTTTTGCCAAGTCTGTGGGAGGGCACCCCTAGCCGCGGAGGCTCGTAATGCTGCAGCGCGTCCAGAATTTCCTGCAGCCGACGTGAGCCCGTGCACATGTCCCGGTTTTCAGAGATTGCATCCTGGCTGACCGGATCGTTTGCAGACGGTTCCGGCGACCTCGGCCTCGGACAAAACACAGCCGCAAGTAGCATCGTATCGAGGCCGAGGCCTCTGCGAGGGGAAGTCTTCCCTCTCTGCAGACCTCCGCTCAAGCGGAGGGGGGATCGTCTTGCAGTTGCAATGCCTTGCCCTGGCGTCCTGGCACTCCCCAGCCTCTGAGACTTCTCAGTTGCGCTCGCCCAACTTCGACCGTCCCCTGAACAACGAGGCACGTGTCATCAGCACTTCTCCGAGTCTTGAATGCTACGGGGTCCGTCTCCTGACTTTGGAAACTCAGCTGAGTTTCCTGTCGGAGATGCCCGCCCTGCGAAGCGAGCACACATTCTGAATCGATGCCACAGACCCCCTTGAGGCCTGGAGTTGGGATCTGGTTCTTCTGACCACACGCACTTGGCAAAGGCCTGGGCCAGGCCTAAAAACACGGCCTCCACTTTCTACGCCAGAGGCAAAAGACCATGTCCGTTCCGCTGAAACCAACAATAGTCGCAGGGCTCAACATCTGTGAATCTCGCGGCGTAGCCGCGCAAGCGACTCTGCGTAGTCATACCTACCATGCCATGTATGACATGTGATGCAGGGCTGCCACACCCCTTTTTGTGGGGTGGGGCCTGTGGTGGTACCCTTCCCCGCCGCATCTCCCCCCACGCCTGTGGTTTCGTTGTTGTGGTGGGGTCTGCACTCCCCTTAGCTGAGGCTTTGGTTGGCCTGAACTGGAGTACCCAAAACGTGTAACACAATGACCTCTCGTCACGATTATAAGTGACTCAACTACTGTTATGGTTACTCTTTATCTTCCTTCTTGCTGCAGCACCGGTGGTGCTGCTCATGCTGTTGTGCTGCTCTGGACGGCGACGCAAGTGGACAATCGGATCATCTTTGACATCATGCTCAACATCATCATTGCCGTCGTCATCTTCATCATCAGTCCCATCAAAAGAATAGCTGCCACCATCACCATCGCCACACAACCGTCATCGTTAAGCGTTGTAATTCATGTCTGATGGGGGAAACTACTGCGCGGGTGCCGCTTTCCGCACAGGGCAGGGGTGGGNNCGGTAAGCACCCCCCAATCGTGCAGCAGCAGAGGGTGGGGTACCATAAGTGGGTGGGGGTGAATCAGGGGTGGGGGATACCCGCCCGCCCTGTCACACGCTTCGATGGCACCACACCCGACATGCCGGCTCTGTGAAGGCCAACAAACATCGACACCATGACTTGCACGTCGCAAATTAGACATGGGCTATTGCCTCGCAGAAGCCCACACAGCATAACATTTTGCAGTGATCGCCTTAATGGTGCCTTGCTTCACCCAAGCCGTGTTGAATGAACGTCTCTCTGGAGCACTGCCCACAAAAGGCACTTATGGGACCTCGTTGATGCTCCAGACGCCAGTTTCGACAGAGTCTTTGAGGTTCCTCGGGCCCTAGGGTTAGCACCGGGTTCTGCATCGAGGCACCTACGTCTGTTCAGAGTTGGAACATCAGCTCAAGGGCTGCAGAGGCTCATCTGAGGTACGAACACTCCAGCCGTCGCAGCCTCTTTCTCCACCCTGATGCTTTCTGTAGCGTCAGACCTCACGATGCCACACATGCCGATGCCGAACAAGACTCCTTGAGTGAAGGTGTAGAATACCCCGCCAGCTTGCCAACCAGAAAGTTTCTCGAGGAGGCAGTGCCCAGGTCTGGTATGCAGCATGCACGGTGACCTCTTGGCAAAAACCTCAGGCCTTCATCCAAACTTGCTGTATGGTTCCACTCTCCTTTCGGTGCTCGACTCCTGCAATTTCTGTCATCTCCTCCCAGCTGCATACACAACACCAAGAAGCCTCGCAGAGTGAGAACACTCAACAGTGCCACTTCTGCCCGCTACCTAGGAGCGAAGGATTCCACACGTACACTCGAGCGCCCACAAACACACACACACACATATATTTATATATATATATATATACACATACATACACATACACGCACACCATCATACTCCACAGCGAGCTTGTAGCATCATCTTCCATGATTGCAATCGCAATCACTGGGGTCGGTGTCGTGTTCTTGCGTGGGTAGCTCATTGAGGTTTCTCGAACAGTCTCCACTGCTGACATGGCTTTAGTCGTTGCAAGTGCCTGCGAAAGAATCACTTCGTTTTTTGTGTCAATTCACTGTCTCTCTCTTTTGGTGTGCCACCCTGAACTGCCTTCCACCCCTTCAGAGCGGAATGTCCAATGCACACCAGTTAACCTGGGGATGGATTCGCTTCGGACCACAGGTCTTACATCAGTCGGCCCAGCCATGCAGTCAAGCTGTCTTCCAAGGCTTCTGGAGGTTTGCAATGCGGGTGGGAGCGGCGTTTTGCAGCTCGGGGTTTTCCCCACTCCGAACAACAACTTCTCGACCAAAAGGCGGCTGAGAGTGCGGCTGATGGATCAACACAATCGAATAGGGATCAAGGAATCGAAATCTGTGATCGAAAGCCACAATAGAAAATCTTCAAATATCATATGTCCTAGAGGGTATACTACAGACCACCAAAGTTTCAGAACAAAAATCGTTAAGGCGTCAAAACATCCAAGGTATAAAAGGCATTGTAGCAATTCTGATGGCAGTCGTCGTGGTCATGGTCGCGTCGTGGTCGTCGTCGCGGTAGTAGTAGTAGTAGTAGTAGTAGTAGTAGCAGCAGCAGCAGTAGTAGTTGTAGTAGTAGTAGTAGAAGAAACAGTAGTAGTAGTAGTAGTAGTAGTAGTAGAAGTAGTAGTAGTAGTAGTAGTAGTAGGCGGAGGAGGAGGAGGAGGAGGGGGAAGCTGTTGGACACGGACAGATGCTGGATTTTACATAAAAGATAGAATAAAGGTAGATGGCAGGTGATGTGAAGGTGATGTGCAAAGGCAGAACACATGTGGAAGAAAGGTGGAACGAAGGTGTGGAAAACGGTGAAGGTAAGCCTGCTACACGCTAAGGCCCGGAACGCTAAACAAGTCGAAACAAAAAAAAAACCTTAAGCCGTAAGAAACCCTAACCCCAAGCGAGCTCTCAGGCCCTAAACGTTAAGCCCTGAACTCGGAGGTGAGAAAAACTTTGCGACAAACAAAGGTGATTACAAGGCAATTGCGAAGTGAAATTCAAGGATGCAAGAAGGTTAAGCCTGGAAGCCGTGACACGGGCATACACTTGTTATTGAACCGAAACGGCATCATTCTCTAGGACCATAGAAAAGCTGGAAGCAGCGCACCTGCTGGAAAATCCGCATAGTATGCATAGATTCAAACTATAGACGTATTTCCGACGAATATCATGCATACATGCATGCATGTATGCATGTAAGTCTGTATGTAGGTATGTTTGTCAGCTCGGCGCACACGGCCTCATGCCATCTTCGATTAAGCCCCGGGAACAGATCCAAGCGTGCAGCTCCAGGCACCAAGCAATCTTCATACCACCTTTGATTCACCTTTGAATACCTTTCTTCACTACGGTTGATTCACCTCCATTCCACCTTGGAATCACCTTTGAATTGAATATCTAGTCTCAGGCCGTCTCCAATGCCTCCTTCCCAACGCCCTACACCCTAAACCCTAAGCCTAAACCATAAACCCTAAACCCAGCAGCAGTAGTAGCAGTAGTGGTAGTAGTAGTCGTCGTCGTCGTAGTAGACACCAGTACTGGTCATCTTTAGTGGTAGTCAGTAGCAACAGTACAGTGTGCCGCGAATTTGGAACAATTATTTGAGCAAGATTGCCAAGCAGTCTTGCAATCTTGGTCTCGCCGACTAGTTTCAATAGTTTGCCTGTCAGACCAAGATTTCAAAGGGGGGAGGCCAAGTTATCTTGCAATGTTGGTCAGGGCAGGGCCAAGATTGCCAGCAATCTTGCAATCTTGGTCTCCACAGGTAAACTACTCGGCGAGCAAGTGGGGCAAGTGGGGCAAGATTACCAAGATTGCTTGGCAATCTTGCTCCCCCCTGACCAAGATTGCCAGGATTACCAAGATGGTTTGAGTGCTCACAGGCTGCAAAACACTGTAATTTACAGCATTTCTGGCTTTTATTGTTGTTGATCCCTGTTTGATTTCTTTGTGATCCCTATTCTACGTGTTTGATGCCCGTTGGCTGTCTTGATCCCTATCCCCGCATTTATCACTCTCAACCGTCACTACGCTCGCGCATATCGCGGTGAGATATGGTCAGATGCACAACGAAGCGCAACGTCGATAAGGAGTCTGCCGATCTGCATTCAGTTCACGGTAGATTCGGCGAATGTTCTCTCGATGCCTCTTCCGGGCACGATACAAAAACGTGCGGCATGGGTTACTTAGCTGATAGGCACCTCTGCAAGCGCTCCAATCGCCCTGCCACCTCTGCAAGAACTGCAGGTCCCACGGAGCGCTCGGCAGCTTCGGCCCGGCCCGAGGCTCAGCGCCACACAGGTCCGACGGAGGGCTCGGCAGCTCGCCCCGTGCGCCCTCGTGCTGTTTCACAACAGAACTTCAGTCGTCTGATTCTCGTCAACACGAGGCTCAGGTCAAGTCAAGTCTGCATCTCTCTCCGATGCTCTCAGCTTCAACAGGTGGAATATCTTTTAACATCGGCAAGGCGGGGTGCGGCAGAACTGAAACAGCGCTCTGCAAACCGAAGAGGCGCCATTTCAGGGCCAAGGAACACTGTACAGAGCTGCCTTCTCGCAGTCACCCACCACGCCACAGATTTCAAGCCTAATGCCGGCGCACTGCTAACCTGGAGGTATTATCACCCGCTGTCGGCCAGAGGCCAGCATGCTAGAAATCGCAACAAGGCACACAAGCACATCTTTCAGTGGCTGAAGCGCCAGGATAGTTCTGACTGTTGAACTCAAAGAGATCAGCTCGGCAACCCGACGGATGCGAGCAAGCAGGAGGACTAAAACTCGTCCTTTGTACCGTCACGAGCCGGCTTCCCGCTCGAGCAATTGGTAGCCTTAGATGTGGCCGGTGTTGCCGCTGGGTGCGTGCATTCATGTAATCAGCTTCGCCACGGGTGGAGGTAGGAACGGTCGCAGCATTCTCTTCAGAAGCCATCTCGCCATAGCTGCGGCCTGACTCAGCAAATCACACATGCGATAACATCTGGTGAATCACTCGGCTTGAAACTGGACTGCGCCAAGCGCACTTGATTGAATCGCGAATGCTTGAATCGAGCTTGCTTCAATTGCGCGTGCTTGAATCGCAGTGCTTGAACCACGGCGGGGCTCTGCTTCCATTGCCCAACCATTGCTGCCAAGAGTCCCGGGACACTGCTGCCCTGACGGAAGCTAGGAGCCACGCCGCATGCACGTTTGATTCCTTAGCTATCAGCAGCTGCAGCTTCCTGCAAGCAACTCTCTAAGATCTCGTAAAATACACGGCTTCCAAATCACCGGCATGCTGTGCAAATTGCGGCAAGACCGCGGTTAGCAATGTGTTCATGGCCTGCCGCTGCTTTAACGCCCAGCTCAGCGCAGCCATGGATTCATTGGCACACGCACTGCTTGGGTCGGCCTGGCAGGACTGACTGCAATTGTTTGAGAAGGGTACTTAAAAGAATCGACAGTTGCAAGCCAACCACCGGTTTTGCTTCCCCAGCCTCAACGGATGAGAGGCTCTTTCCACTCCCGAAGAGATCTTGCAAAGAGTCTGCCTTCGGCCAGAAGCGTTTACATCCGATTGCGTCAGACTCTGCAGATTTTGGGTGCGAAGCGGCCTTGAACAGTTTCCAGCCTTGCGAGCCGCGGTGGAACTCCGCAGCACATATCTGGCCATCCGAGGCACGGAAGTGAGCAGCCGCGAGGTCTCCTAGCAAGTGACCCACCCAACTACCCGATGCCCTCCCCGGGCGCATCCCGCTCTGCAGCTTTGCCGACCGGCTTGGGTATAGCGGTATAACCATCGGTCTGGTGGGCAACGGGCACGCGACACATCATCTCGGGAAATCTCATGCTTGGCTTCGAGTCACAAGGAAGGAGTCGGAGGCTCACAGGGTTGACTCGGCTTTGGTGCAGGCTTGTGGGGTTGAAGGACTTCCATCAATCAAAGCCCTCAGTTCTGAAGTCGGCATCCCCAACAAATGTCGGCATCCCCAACAAATGAACCCACCAATCCGAAGTCGTCCAAGCTAATTCTCAGAGCCGAGTGCTGCAAGGTCCTGGCCGGTAGAAGGAGAACGAAGCAACACCAAACCGTCTGGATTGGCTCTGCGCGTCAAGCTTTCCAAACAGACTGGTTCCAACAAATAGCTTGCCTTTGAGTTCCAGGCCGACTAGGTCGGCAATGGTTGCGTAAACATCTGCCATGCGGAAAAGGCCCGGCGAGGCGACGCGGGAAGCGAATGATCTGGCTTCGAAGGCCATCATGGTCCGCGACACATCCGGCGAGACTAGGTTTCCATGCGGAGGCGGGTCGGCACCACTCAGCTGTTCGCCGTGGTCTCCAAAAGTAAATGCCAAGCCGTTCTCTTTCTGCCAGTGACTCGAAGCCTTTCTCGGAGGCGGCCAGAACTCCGACAACCGCTTTGCAACAGCATCGGTTCTCCGATTGAGTGCTAAAAACACATCCATCAGCTCTTCGACCGCAAATCCTCTTTCTGAAGTGTCTACACGGTTCGCGTAGTATGGGGGATGAGCGTCCCCTCCGTAGAAATACACAAACGCCGGAGAGCTAGCGTTCAGCGCACCCCATGAGGCAAGCAGCTGCCGAAGCTTCTCTAAAAGGCCATGCTCATCTTCAGCCACAATTGTCTCCTCGAAGCTCGAAGACTTGTCAAGTGGTAGACACAGATTGTAACACGATTAGTTGAAGCAAAGTGAAATTACTTGGCCGAACCACAGCCGGCTGCAAGCACCACAGGTTTGGGTCAGAATGGCCTCGAAGCCAAACACGCGACGAGGCAGGTCTGGTAGTTCCGTGTCCATCTTCGCGAGCACGGACCGGTAACCACAGCAACGCTTCAGTGCTCGAGGAAGACACTCCTGCCTGCAAGCACAACATCAAAGCATGCCCTGCATGGCATCGCGATGGACTGTGTCATCTGACAGCATTGCGCATGTTCACATTCTGTTGACATGCAGCGTTGTCGCATTGCGTATCCTTGTGTGAAACTACCTCTACAGTGTTTGCTGACATGCTGTATTTCCTTTGTACATTCATGCGCAGATTGAATTGACAAGTGCACTGCAAGCTTGCAGCAGCAGAAATCCTAATAGTAACGAGTCCGAACACCATCGGCTAGCAACCTTAAGCCCACCGAACGGTGACTACATTGCCTCGGGCTTCAGCTTCTGTACAAGGCAAGTGCTGACCGATTAGCCCGTTGCACGTGCCAGCCAAGCCAAGACATTCCACGAAGGCTACTGCTCGCAGCATCAGCGGCTGGCAGGGTGGGAACCCATCATCGATGGCACGGAGTGACTAGATTGGAGAACCTTGGCGCTGAAGAGGTCGCTCTGCATGACGGACTCGAGCTTGACCTCCAGCTTCTTTGAGTCAAACTTCGATGCGATGCGCTGCCTCAATATCTCGTCCTTCACCTGTGCTCTAGCTTTGTATGCCTCTGCTTGGGCAGCGCGTCTCAACTCCCACATCCTGTGCCGCTCTGCATGCATGTGATCGATCTTCTCATCCTTCTTCTTGACAGCTTCAGCGATAGCCTCACGCTCTGCATCTTCGCGCCTCCGCTGGCGCTCGACGTTGATCTCTTTGTTCTTGGCCCTAAGGGCATCCAACTCACGCTTGAAGTCCAAGTATCGCTCCTTCTTTGCCTCGTGCTCCATCAGGCGATATTCTGTCTCTTCTTGCTGGTCGAGGATGGCACCGCGACGCTCCTCGGCCTTCCTTGCCGCCTCTTCCTGGATGACTTTCCGCCGCATCATCGTCTGAAACGACCTTTTCGCACTTTCCTCTTGCTTCAGCGCCAAAGCTTGCATCAGCCGCTCCTCTCGCTCCATCTCCTCGGACTGCTTCCGTTCGAAATCTTCGCGCCTCTTATGCTCAATGTCTTGATTGGCTTGAATGCTGTTGTAGATTTTCATGTCGCGAGCATCCTTGCGATCCCGCAAAAGCTCACGGAAGGCTTCCTGCTTCTGCGCCATCAGATCGATTCTCCTTTGATCTTGTGCCCGCATTTCGTCTTTCCGAGCCTGCAAGTCCCGATACTCTTGCTCACGTTTCTCTGCCTTCTCTCTTTCTATCTGCCGCTTGCGCTCGGCATCTCTCACTTGCCGTTCGTAGGCTTCCTTGAGTCTTTTCGCGTCTTCCTTCTGCTTGTTCTGCAGCTCGAGCTGCTGCTTGTGAAACTCTTCTTTGGCAAGCTGTTTCTCCAACTTTTGCCTGGCTTCCATTTCCATCTGCTTGCGTTCCTCCATCTCCGCTCTCTTGTCATTCATCTCTTTCATCTTGCGGGACTGCTCTCTTATCTTGTCCAGTCGATCCTCTGCTTCGGCGGAGAGCGTCTGGTTCGCGGACTCAAGCTGCTTGAGCTGATGCAGTTCGCTGTTCAAGGCGCTCTTCAGCCAACTCCTTTCGGTCTCCTGAGCTCGAAGCAACTTCTGGCGTTCAAGCTTCAAGGTGTCGCTATTCAAGGCCAGGATAGCACCTTTCGAGAGCCCACTTTCTTTGGCGACAAGCGCCAGCTGTTGGTTGCTGCTCTCTTTCTCCCTGTGCTCGTCGGACATAATGCCATCACGGGCTCTCCGCGCTGCCGCGAGGAGATCGCGCCTCTTGGCTTCAAAGAAGTCGAAGCGAAGCTTCTGCAGCCTCGGAGAGAGGTTCCTGTCTTGGAAAGCCTCGAAGGGCTTGAAAACCAACTCTTGCGGCAGGACACCCTCCTGTTTACAGGCTTGAAGTGACCTCGGCGAGGCGATCACTGCTTTCGGGTTCATCTCATCGAAGCTTACCAGCGAGGCCATGGCGGAAGTCAGGCGAGCCTATTGCTCGCACTTTTGAACCGACAAAGCCTGCAAGAGCGATTGCTAACAGCACGTCGGGCCGCAGCATCTCAAGTCCAGGTACTTCGGCAGGTTGCACCGTGCCTCAATCCAGATCCTTGCTCACGAAAATCGGCAGTGGAAGATGCTGGCAGCCCACAAAGAACCTTCAACGACAACAGCACACCGTGTTCAGCACGAAGCGGTTCAGTGCAGGGGCTCTCGCGCACTGTCTTCAGCTTACGGCTTAGCACCCTCGGCGCGTTCTGGCCAGTTCTGGCCTCCCACGCTGTCTTCAGGGTCACAGGAACTCCAGCGATGGCACTGCCCGAGAAAACGTCCGGCCTCAAACCCACGCGACGCATGCACAGCACTTCAAACCACACAAAAGCGCAGGCTTGGTGCTCATGAGCCTCTGTCCCCCCGCAATCAAAAGGTTGGCCTTTGATCGTTTTTGTTGATGCTTGATGTGTGCATTGGCTGACCTGCAACTGTGGGGGCCTGGAAGGGAAACAGACACGAATCTGCCGAGGCGTGAGCTGCAACTTCTGAGTATTGCGTGCCGGCTTTGCTCAACCGCACTGTCACAGCGGTGCAGGCTTAGAATCTGGTGGTGATCCTCGTTGCCCCTTGAACTACGCCTAACATGCTTGGTTTTGGTCTTAGAGGACTACATAACTAGACTAGACGACATGAGTTTACATGGACTTTACTGATGTTGGCGAAGCGCTGCTGAAACACTACTGACCGGCGCTGTGCGAGTGAAGAATCTGGTAGGGCTGATCGAACTTTTGGACTTGAAATCGTCTGCCAACATGTTTCACTGACTTGTGCGATTAGGCCTCTAGCGATGGAGCCTTCGAGTTGCGAGACGACAACAATAGAAACTTTAGACTCTATTAGACCAGACTGTGATCTTGGTAGGAAGTCATTCGAGGCACAGGAAGCAGCACACAACACGCTTCAAGCATTCGCCGGCATGGCAGGGCCTCTGCACTAGCCTCCGAAGGTAAGGCGTGGCGCTCGCGTTTGAACGATCCAGGAGAATGTCTGCGCCAGCTTCCCAGTGAAACAAGAGTATCGGAGGAAAGAACGTAGTAGCTGTGCCTGAGACAGAGCTCACTCCACTGAGGGCGAAAATGCTGATAGACGTTGTTTATGCATTCGAAGACACTAAACGTAGTTCCATGGGAGGCGAGCACCTGTCACGTTGCGGCGTTGCGCTGCCCAGTAGCTGAAGCATGAGGCGAGCAGTGCCTCCCGGGAGTCCACGGGCAGCAGGGTTCCCGTCAACATGGCCAAGGCATCACTGGAGAGCTGGCTCAAGAGATCAGCACCCACGCCCTGAGAAGCAGAGCGGCATCTCCACAAAGCACCGCCTTGGCTGAAGGGCCGAACCGTCTAAGAACCGCCAAGACATCTTTCCTTTCAAGGCGCCGCAGTACACGCCGACCGCCAGCTTGCACGCCCATGGAACACGACATTCCGGGGCTGCACGGGTCAAGCGCACCAAGACTGGCAGAAGCAGAACCACCAAGAGGATCATCAGCACCAAGCTTGCTAACACGAAGTGTAACCAGGGAAGGACCATTCGGAAAACCTCGGCAGCAAGCTTTGCGCCACTTTGGCAGAGCAAATACTAGAGGGCGCACAGGTGCACGGAAAACAGCATGAAGCCCTTATGTTTGAGCGGTATGTGGCGTGTGGAATGCAAGTTGGTCAAGCAGGTTTCGCCTTGGAGTCTGAGACTCAGCGCTTCGAAGCCTGGGTCTTCTGCCTTCGCTTATTGTCCATTCTGGGCGACGAGACGGTCCTGTTGCATGTGATGTAATTTGTCATACCAACAGCGTGGACACACATGTGCAAGAAACGTAGCCACACTCGGTGATGGCGAAAAGGACCAAAGGTAGCGAGACCCGAGCACCACCGGCGCCGATGTTCAGCGCAAGGTCTGCGGCTCCCAGCAGGGAAAGTAGCAGCCATGTTCCAGCATGAGCCCACCTCGGATCATGCGATGTTGGGGCTCAATCATGTTTTTTTGGCTCACCTCTGCAACAACTCTAGCATAGTCTATGGGGATATCTTACTTATGCCGTGGGCGCGTTTCCCTGTTGCCCGGCAACTTTGCTCGCAAACTGTTTCCAAACTATTCAAAACCTGTTTAGCTTGGGTCTGCGCCAGTGCATGTTGTGCAGGCACGCCGAGGTACTGGAGTGTCGGTGGGGCTGGCGTGGGCATGGGTCGGCGGGCAGCGGCGACTCGCCTGGGGGTTGGGCTAGGGGCGCGGGCGGCGACGGTGGTGCTGGCGCAAGCCTCAACTCCACTCTAACACCTGTTTCGTCAGCAGCCCGGACCTCAGACGACTAAGCACCCTCAGGCACTTCAGGGTTTGAAGGGCCCGAAAGCCTAGAGGTCAAAACACCCCCATGCCAAAACCGGTTTTTCGGAGAACCGGTTTACGGCGTGCGAAAACCGGTTTATGATTGTAAAGGAATAGCAAGCACGACAGCCATGAACCATCATGAACCACTCCGGAAATCTCATCGGCCAGACTCGGCAGGCGGCTGCAAACGCTGTTTGCAACAACTCTCCAGCCACTTCCATCACAAAACGGCTCTCTGGCCGTCTAGTCCCAGTCAAAATCCTCCAAGCGGACAAAGAAAGAGCCGTTCCATGATGGAAATAGCCGGAGGGTTGCAAACAGTGTGTTCCACCACCACCGAGTCTGTCTGATGAGATTTCCGGAGTGGCTCATGGCCTCATGGCTGTCGTGAGCGCAGTCCTGTACAATCATGAACAGCTTTTCCGAAGAACAGGTTTCACCTTACGCTTGAAACGCTTGATGTCAGGGAAGGGGTCGGTGCTGCGAGTAAGGCTTTGGTGCAGGGGTGGGGTGGGGTGGGGGGTGGGGTGGGGAAGCAATTCTTCTGTCGCTTGTGGTGGCGGTGGTGGTAGGATCCAAAGGGTGCGGGTCGGCTATATGTAGCTGATGGCTCGGAGAATAATGCAGGAATAGCTTTGGACATAGTTTCAAGCTCTATCAACTTCCAAACAGAAAACACGCACGCGCTGCGAATAACTGGTGACAAATGATTGGAAATAGTTTGAAGCCCAATCCACCTCCGAACAGACGCCCCTGCCTAAACAGACCGACGCCGTGAGTAAGGAATGTTAATGAAGTTGAGTTGCTGTGTGAGCCGACGCCTGATTCTCATGAACACTCGAGCAACAGAGAATTGCAGGCCCGACTTCAGCAGGGAAATCTGACGGACCTATGCACTGCTGTCTGAAATCAACATTTTGAGCGAGAAGCCCAAACATCCGAGCGCCGACTTCCAGGGCAAGGTCCAGAACCACCAAGGCTAGTGTCAACGACAGCATCGCTTCCTCGCAAGTAAGAGGCATTGACTTCGAAGTCGCACAGTGGTACAGAACGGCCCTGGCTAAGCTCACTGCGATAATCTGTCCATGACCACCTTGGCCGTTGCGCACACTTGTTGCGACCTTTAAATGAGAATAGTCGCAGGCGTGCGAACTCAGGCTGTTGCCGTCATTGTGGAAAAATGAGAACCCACTGGAGCTTACCCACCAGTAGCCAAACCCATCCTGAGAAAGCTGCGGCCAACGGAATGGTAGTTGGGTACCACTGGGTGCCCTCAAGCTTTGTCTGTTCAGCTGTGGGACATTCAGCCACCGTGACCAGGCCACTTTACCTGCCTCCGTTGCACCCACCTGCGCTGCTCAAGCATGTTGACAATCCCTGGTCGAAACGAAGTGGCAACTGCGACAAGATGGCAAGTCGGCTTCTCAGCTGATTTTGAATGGTAGTCCCAGGCGCGGAGATCGCTATGCTTACCTGCAGTGTTCGATGGATATTCGCCTGTGTCGAGACCCCACACACACACACAGGCATCCCGAGCTGCCACGCAAGCACAGAGCATCTTTACGATGACACGATGTGAAACGACATGAATCGACTCTTGCCCATGCTGCTGTGCTCACAAGGCCTCCTCCTTGGTTCGGCCACCAGGACGCTCCATCCAATTGCCGCTCTAAACTCTACGACTCTATGCTGGCCTGCAACTCCTGACCCTCTTGGCCAGGCTGCTAGTCTTTGGGCCAGACTGTGGCACTGCAACTATGGGGAGAGCATACAAGCATCAATCGGTGAAGGATGAACAATGAGCCTGCCCGGTCCGGTGCACTGCTCGAAATTGACTTGCCGTACACCTCAGTCTGGCTGTTCTTGTGTCGCAAATCGCCAAAGCAATAGATGAAGCGACTTGACAACAGAGAGCCCGATCATGCCAGCAAGCCCAATGTGGCACGTTGATTGAAGCCTTCTGCCTTCTGCACACGCAAGGCCCAAGCTCGCATGATGTGAGATCATGGTCTCTGCAGCTAATTGTGCTGTCGACTGTGTTTGCAGAGCTGCAGGGTTGCTGATGCTGAATCAAAGAAGGAGCTGCTACACGGTGGTGATGGTGCTGGTGACAGTGGGGTCGTTGTCTGTCCACCTCAGCTTCCTGCACATCGGCTTGGGCAATGGCTGAACTGGTGGCGAGGAACACAGGCTCGGCTTTCACTCTGCACGGAAGCAGTTAGCCGTTCCCCCGAGACGGTGGAGTATTTTCTTGCCGAGGCAAAGGAATTCGGTACATGCATAGCATGCGAAGGGATCTACGTGCAGGGGCCCATTAGAAAATTCGTGGGCGAGCCTCTCCGCCCAACCGCTAAGATCTTGAGCTTACCAGCCTCTGCCTCTGCGCTGTACATCCAGAGGAAGCTCTCGGAGCTTGGACCTAACTTTCTGGAAGCTCTCGGAGCCAAACCGGGGCGATGGATCCTTGCTTGCTAGTTACACGTGGCTTTTGTGGGCCGACTAGCTAGGCAACGCTTGGGCGAATGCTTTGACCACTGCCTGATACCGCTCCCTTCACCAGTGCTGCCCATGAGCGTGTATTACGAATACACCAAGAAAGCGGCCAACAGAAGCTTTTAGCACCAGGGTGGCAGACATCATCCCGGGCCCGATGCCTTTAACCAACTACATGGACAAGTGCGTGTGGGCAATATGCCATGAAAGCAAGCCCCAGCTTACGGATCGATCGCCGAGTTTCGTCTCCTCTCCTGTGAAACACGGGCTTTAAGTAGCCACCCTCTCCCGGTGACTATGCCTGCACTGCAACCGTTTCAGCTGTTCCCTGGCGGCAAAGAAGGTTGACGGCTTCCTGCGGTGCTGAGGCACGCTTCCTTCGGCAGATCTGTGCTTCCATTGACGCAGACAAGTCGCCGAATACTGGTGTCTGGCATGGCTTGGTCGGTCGTCAGCATCGCCTGCTCGATTGGCTTTGTGCTGCAGGAATGGCCAGCAGAGCAGCTGCACCTGCTGAGGGCGGGGTCGAGTCTTCGCAGACCTGTAACGCGTCCTGTCAGCACGGTGCAGATCTGCAGGACTGGCCGCTGAGACCTACCTGAGATGCGGTGCCTGGAGCATTTTGGATAAGAGATTCGCGTCGACCAGTGCTGCAACTCGGAGGATGCGAGCATCAAACAATGGACTTGCGAAGCCATCCCAATTGGCCTTAGCTTGCAGTGTTCATGTATAGGTAGTGCTGCGCGAGATCAATCTCCACACTGAGTTCGAGCGCAGCTGCTTGAAGCAGGTAGAGCGTCTCCTACCGGCAGCTGGAGTCGTCTATCGTTCTCTCTTCCGAACAGCCGGTCCATCCAAGGTCCTGCATCGCTTCATCCCACGTCGACGGGCCATGCTGACCATGAAGCCCAAGCATCGTGAACTTCCACTTCGTCCTTGCCGGGAAAAGCATGGAGCAGAGCATGAATCGCGAAGCCCGGCAAGACTGCAATTCGCTGCAAAGGCTCTGCTCAATGAGTTCTGCTGCAAGGCGGAATATCCACTCTTTCCTGACGCCAAGCTCTGGAAAGCACTGCAGCATCTGCTACATAGCATATCTGAGATCAGTTTCCGAAGGTGAGCCTTCATGGAGCATGTTGCATACAGTCTGAAAACTTCCAGACATGCACTTGTAGGCAGTTTAATCCGCTTTGTTGTGCAAGTAATGCCGATTCAGGCCGAGGAGCTGCGCCACCCCGACCTCTGGCATAAGGGCTGGATTGCTGGAGATGAGATTCCTCATCTCCTTCTGTAAGTCCAAGACCTCTTGCGAGCTCGGCTCTCAGTGCACCCGGTGCGCATCTGTTCCTTGCCTCGGTGTTCAGCTTGAGGAGCAGCCTTCTGTTTGAGCATGCTCGGTCCTGCCAGTGCGCACGTACTGCTGCAAGACTCTAGTCCGCTAGGTGAACTTGCAAAAGCCACAATCGGATATTCCTCCGTAGTTTCGGCGCCTTCCTCATCGCCTTGGTAAGACATGGCCAGGGAAATCACCAACCTACTTCTACAGAGGATCAGTGCTCTCCAAGGAGCTGCTTGTATCTGCGTCTTTTGCCTCATCGTCTTCGTCGTTGGACCTCTCTTTCTTTGCCTTCGCCTGACTTGGCTAGTGAGGCTATGCGGGCTATGCTTCGACAGGAACTCTGCTTCGGCCTTGCACTGCAGCTTGTCAAGGATCTCCTTTAGCACATGGGCATTCTTCTGCGCGTCCCCGACCATTACCTGAGCGGAGCAAAGGCCCTGTTGCAAAATGTGCGGTGAAACACCTAGCTCGCTTAGATCGGCGTCTTCGAAAAACGCATGGGAGGCACGGCGGCAGCAGCAGTGGCATCCGCAGTCTCTCGGGCGAGACTTGCGAGTCCCTCGTAGGTTTTGGCCATGGTCCTGTGAGCACCGGACCGCCTCCTGCTACGCTCCTACTGCCTGCGACGGCCCACAGACACTGCAATCTCATGCCGAGCAATGTCTCGCTTGCTTTGTTGCGGGAGCCCTAGGCTAGGAAGGTCTCACAGCCTCCTTCGAAGACGGTCAATGCCAGTGTGGCCTGTTCGAAGCAACTCGTGCCAACAGATTCCAAGATGCATTACATTGCACTACCGAATTGTCACAAGATCCGGAGCTTCGCTCCCTGGGAAGCTCTGCGAAGGACAGCCGCATGCCACCTCCACGTCGCTTTCTTTCGAAATGCAGCCGGCTTTTTCGGGCTAACTGCATGCTGTGGTCAAGCCTGAAGGCTGACGTGGCGCTGTGCTGCACTCAGACGGCAGGGAAGTACGCAGGTCGAAGCTGCCTAGTAATGCGACGGCAAACTAACCTCGATTCATGCATATTGATACCATTCACGGTTGTGTACGCCCCTGCGTCTGCAAGCACGCAGCCGTCCTGCAAGCAGTGCTGCAAAAATGAAAAAGAAGGAAACAGATTGGGAAGGATTGGGCTGCGCAAGCCAGACGGTCCACGGAGCTTTTGGAACAGCACAGATCCCACCAGTCAGTATGTTACAGCCTTGGGCCTGAGCATTTCGAAAACTAACCCTTTTGCAGTGATGAAATCGGATAGATGCTGTAACTCTCGTCCAGCCAGACACCCCCACTCTCACTCTTGCGCAACCGCGCTGACAACGCTTGTCATCACAAGAGCGTCAGACAGCGCACTGGGGAGGAACGTGCTGCCGTCAGACTCATTAGGATTTCTGTGGTCAAGCAGCTGCCGCTTTGGGCTGTCGTTTGTTCTGCCGCTTCCGGTGAAGCCGTTGAGCCTGAAGTTTCCGTGGCCGCCAGATTTTCCGCGAAATCACATCTGGCACCTCCTGCAGATGTGCGGCAATATGAAACCAAAACACCATGCTTTGGGTGTTGGGGCGGGGGCTAACCAGCCGAGGTTAAGAGCTTGCAAGAACGATAGTTACGTGGCAATGATGGTTACCACCCAGCTGCAGCAAGAGCATGATAAAGGACACGGTCCACGCGACCGGCACTTGTAACTTATCCGATAGTGCGACCTTTGGTGTCCTTTGCTCTTATGCTGCTTAAGAGGCTCCATCCCGGTTCACTTCGCCCAAAAGCTGGACAGAATAATGCAGGCAGCATACCAGACATTGGGATCCCAGTTGATTTAGAATTTATAGAGGCACCAAAACAAAAAAGTGGAAACTGTTGGATCACCTCACCTCTGCTCTCAGGCCGTCCATGGCGGGGTGCTCCAGACCTGGCGGACCCAGATCGGCTGTCAAAGCCAGATCCTCAGTGCCGCACAAGTGGGTTTAGGGGAAAGGAACGGAACTTCTGTGTGGTTCCTCTGTCGAGGCCGCAGACCTTCTTGGTCGAGTTCCATCGGACCTCGCGATGGTATTGCCCTCCCCCACGCCACCCAGCCCCCCCCAACCACAGATCGACCTTTTGTTGTTCGTTCATCTCCCCTCCTCCCTGCCGCTGTGGAAATGCACCTCTGACTTCTTCCGGCAAGCTCTGCCCCGCGACCGCCCAAGAGGCGGCTCTTGCGCTCGCGGTCAAGTAGGAAGCTGAGGATCGCAACCAGGACATGCCACATGACAAGTCTGACTGCCAAGGCTCACGGTGTGCCAGCAGGAGTGAAGCGGAGTAGATCTGCGTCTGTTCACAGCCCCAGAAAAGCTCCGGCTCCTCGCAGAGTGAAGCAACCGAACCCAGACCTCGAAATCCCGAGACATGGGTTCAGTCGCAGTCTCTAGCGGCTAGGTGACCAAGCTCTCTCCTACATTTTGCTACACCAACTACGCACCCTTCAAGCATACAACCCCCCGGTGCTATTCTCGCTTAACCACGCAGAGCTTAGCAGAAGTGACGGTCCCGACGGGCCGGCACTTAGAAATAGCTGCATGGTATGGTCCTCAATCGGGGCATAGCTCTGCGACATGGCCACGGGTTCAAGACCAGCCAAGCCAGGGGGTGGCCTCAAGTGTTCATGGGGAAGCTAAACTGTACTACACTCATTGAAAGTGTAACACTTCGCTCGTCAATGATGCTGAAGCTAGAGGGCTCCACGAACTCGACAACCTCGAGGAGATGCGAGGCAGTCAGAGGCTGTACTGGCTGAACATCATCTGTTTGAGCGACTGGAAGGTCTCTTTGTGTTGCACGCTCCTTGTCCCCAGCATGACTGCCAAGTTGAGGCACGGTAGACAAGGAATCTGCAGAATTTGCGAAGTCAGCAAGTCCTCCTCAAGAGCCATGACCTTATCGTTCGCCTCTGCATTCAGTCTGCGCAGTTCCTGCACCTAAGGCTCGGGGGACGCAAACATGCCGTGCTGCTGCTGCACTGCAGCATGTTGTGAGTGTGACAGTATGCTGCAACATGGTGTGACGGCTTGAGTCCAAAACCTCACGGCTCAGGCGAAGATTCAGCTCGCGGCCTCACGAGATCCATTGTGTCGTGATGTGTCATGTTCTCGGTCGTGAACTTCGTGCATGTCAAACCTACAACACCGTGCAAGCCAAAGCCATGCAAACATCAAGGTCATTCAGCCACAGAGGACTTAGCACGGGTGCTAAATACCGAATTTACCCCAGCACAGGCATGCAGGGAGTGTCGCTCTTTGGAAGCTTGCGAAAACTGCCTGCGCTGATTGTGCTGTCGCGGAGCATTTCGGCATGAGTGCTGCTGGCTTGAGGCAGGGACATGAAGGTCCGAGTTCCTTCGGCACGCCGTCACTCGATGTGCCGAGGGAGCTTCGCCACGCCCAATGTGGCTGATGCAGTACTGGTAAGAGTAGTCGCACATTAATAGCAAAGAAGAAGTAGTAGTAGTAGTAGT